TTCCATTTTCTAAATTTGTTTTTTATGATAATCTACTCTTGGAAAATGTAAATTCTCAAAGTTGATAATCTACTTCCACGAAAAGTCGAAAATCTACTTTCCCAAGAAGTAGATAACAGTTTTCAGAAAGTAGATAACCAACTTTCCGGAAAGTAGATATTTCCCATTTTCTATGATATAAATTTCGTTTTTTATGATATGTAGATAACCAAATTTCCTGGAGTAGATATTTATTTTCTGATACAATTTCGTTTATGATAATCTACTTGGAAAATATGTTAATATCTCCCCAAAAGACGATAATCTACTTCCACGAAGGAGGGAGGGTGGGTGTGGAGGGAGGAAGGGAGGGTGGGGTATGTGGAGGAGGGCGAGGGTATGTGGAGGGAGGGTGAGGTGGTGGTGGAGGGAGGCGAGGTGGTAGTGGAGGGAGGGAGGTGGTAGGTGGAGGGAGGGCGAGGTGGAGGTGGAGGGGGAGGGAGGGGGGATGGGGAGGGGAGGGCGAGGTGGTATGTGGAGGGGAGGGCGAGGTGGGTAAGGGAGGGAGGGAGGGTTGTATGTGGAGGGGAGGGGAGGGGGGTATGTGGAGGGGGAGGGAGGGAGGGGTGGTATGTGGAGGGGGGAGGGAGGGGTGGTATGTGGAGGGGCGAGGGTGGTATGTGGAGGGAGGGCGGGTGGTATGTGGAGGGAAGGCAGGTGGTATGTGGAGGGTGTGGTATGTGGAGGGAGGGAGGGGTGGTATGTGGTGGGAGGCGGGTGGTGTGGAGGGGAGGGAGGGGTGGTATGTGGAGGGGAGGGAGGGAGGGGTGGTGTGTGGAGGGGAGGGAGGGGTGGTATGTGGAGGGGAGGGAGGGGAGGGAGGGGTGGTATGTGGAGGGAGAGCGAGGTGGTATGTAGAGGGAGGGCGAGGTGGTATGTGGAGGGAGGGAGGGGTGATGTGTGGAGGGAGGAGAGGTGGTATGTGGGGAGGGAGGGAGAGGAGGTATGTGGAGGGAGGGAGGGGTGGTATGTGGAGGGAGGGAGGGTGGGTATGTGGAGGGAGGAGGGTGGTATGTGGGAGGAGAAGGGTGTGTGTGGTGGGAGGGAAGGAGGCGGTATGTGGAGGGAGGGAGAGGTGGTATGTGGAGGGGAGGGCGGTGGTATGTGGAGGGGAGGAGGGGGTGGTATGTGGAGGGAGGAGGGTGGTATGTGGAGGGAGGTGGGTATGAGGAGGGAGAGGTGTTATGTGGAGGGAGGAGGGTGGTATGTGGAGGGAGGAGGAGGCGGTGGTATGTGGAGGGGAGGGAGGGATGGTATGTGGAGGGAGGGAGGGTGGTATGTGGAGGAGAGAGGTGGTATGTGGAGGAGGAGGGTGGTATGTGAGGGAGGGGTGAGATGTGGGGAGAGGGGGAGGGAGAGGTGGGTATGTGGGTGAGGGAGGGGTGATGTGTGGGGGAGGGAGAGGTTGTGTGGTGGGGAGGAGAGGAGGTATGTGGAGGAGGGAGGGGTCGTATGTGGAGGGAAGGGAGGGGTGGTGTGGAGGGATGGAGGGGGTGGTATGTGGAGGGAGGGAGGGTGGTATGTGGAAGGAGGGAGAGGTGGTATGTGGAGGGAAGAGAGGTGCTATGTGGGAGGGAGGGGTGATGTGTGGAGGGAGGGAGGGGGAGGGGGTAGGGGTGGTATGTGGAGGGAGGGAGAGGAGGGTATGTGGAGGAGGGAGGAGAGGCGCTATGTGGGAGGAGGGAGGGGAAGGTATGTGGAGGGAGGGAGGGTGGTATGTGGAGGGAGGGAGAGGAGGTATGTGGAGGAAGAGAGAGGTGCTATGTGGGAGGAGGAGAGGGAGGCATGTACATCCAGAATAATACACAAGCACCAAGCAATGACCTTGAAAACCCATAAGTGGCGAGTAATTAGCATTGCAAAAGTAATTAAAATTTTCTAAAAATCATTTGAACAAGCAGTAATCCAGATATCAAATTTTGGTTAACAGATCCTTTAGCAGCATGTTCAGGAGTATCTATACTGAGTTTTTGAAAAAAATTAATTTTGGACAAAATGCCAAAAATTGTAAGGCTTACCCCTTACAGGATTTTTGGCCAAAAAACACTTTTTCCCTCAGAACTAAAATATAATGTGCCTAACTATGTAAGTACATCCAGAATAATACACAACCACCAAGAAATGACCTCGATGGCTGAAGTAGCCTTTGCATGTGCTTCCCACCTAGTTTAGTGTCAGAAGACATTTTGGCACTGTAGAGTCAGGATTCAAGAATAATTTGAGTACTGCCCCGGGTTTTGTAGAGGCTGAGAAGAGAGTACTGTATATATTTTTTACACAACAACTAAATTTACTGCATCTAGGCAGCAATCAACTGCCACACAGCTAACGTCAGTGAATGGATGAATCGAAAAACTAATTAATAAGGTTTCCAAATGATACTTTAAAACTATAAACATTATTAGACTGAAGTTTCTGACCTGCAAATGAAATAAGTTATTTAAGCCAGGGCAATTTGATTCATAACAAATCTTTTTACTTACTGTATCTCAAACATATTTAGAGGGCCCTCATAATGTGAGGCCCGAAGCTGTAGCCATTTCACCTTGTGCCTAAACGCAATGGCTGATGCCATCACATTTCTGGCAGTTGGTGAGAGAGACTAGTGTTGTTCCATGGACCAATTACAACCGCATGTGCACCAGTAATTCAGACTGAGTCCGACTTTTGGGAAGTTTACTATTATGGGAATGAACCCATCTCAACTGTAAACTGAGTGAAATACCTTGGACTAATTCTTGACTTTCTTCATCTGGAGAATAAATTGTAGATAATAATAAGTAAAACTAATGTTAGGATAAACAATTTGTTTATAGAAATTCCTTATGTTCTCAAGTGGAATGTAATGCTTGTTAAATTGATCAGAAAACTTTCACTATCTACATATTGTTACTGATTAGAGATCCTAGACTAAGCAAAGGACTCTACTGTAAATAAGTATCTGTTGGCTTTGCCAATTAGTAAGTCTGTGAATCTATTATTTATCATTAAATATATACAGTACAGTATAACTATTTATATCATCTAACCTTACAGAAGTGAAGAACAAGGGACAGACTGATGACAGAGGCTACATCACCACCAGATGACAGGAGGCTACATCACTACCACCACCAGATAACAGGAGGCTATATTATCACCACCACCAGATGAGAGGAGGCTATATATCACCACCACCAGAAGAGAGAGGCCATCACCACCAACACCAGATGTCAGAAGGCTACATCACCACCACCAACACCAGATGTCAGGCTACATCACCACCAACACCAGATGAGAGAGGGCTACATCACCACCAACACCAGATGTCAGAAGGCTACATCACTCACCACCAACACCAGATGTCAGGCTACATCACCACCAACACCAGATGAGAGAGGCTACATCACCACCAACACCAGATGAGAGGGCTACATCACCACCAACACCAGATGAGAGAGGCTACATCACCACCAACACCAGATGTCAGGCTACATCACCACCAACACCAGATGAGAGAGGGCATCACCACCACCAGATGTCAGGCTACATCACCACCAACACCAGATGAGAGAGGGCTGCCATCACCACCACATACACCAGATGAGAGGGCTACATCACCACCAACACCAGATGTCAGGCTACATCACCAAACACCAGATGAGAGAGGGCTACATCACCACCATCACCAGATGTCAGAAGGCTACACCATCACACCAACACCAGATGTCAGGCTACATCACCACCAACACCAGATGAGAGGCTACATCACCACCAACACCAGATGAGAGAGGGCTACATCACCACCAACACCAGATGTCAGGCTACATCACACCACCAACACCACATGAGAGAGGGCTACATCACCACCAACACCAGATGTCAGAAGGCTACATCACCACCAACACCAGATGTCAGGCATCACCACCAATACCAGATGAGAGAGGGCTACATCACCACCATCACCAGATGTCAGAAGGCTACATCACCACCACCAACACCAGATGTCAGGCTACATCACCACCAACACCAGATGAGAGAGGCTACATCACCACCAACACCAGATGAGAGAGGGCTACATCACCACCAACACCAGATGAGAGAGGCTACATCACCACCAACACCAGATGAGAGAGGGCTACATCACCACCAACACCAGATGAGAGAGGGCTACATCACCACCAACACCAGATGAGAGAGGGCTACATCACCACCAACACCAGATGAGAGGGCTACATCACCACCAACACACATGAGAGAGGGCTACATCACCACCAACACCAGATGTCAGAAGGCTACATCACCACCCAACACCAGATGTCAGGCTACATCACCAACACCACATGAGAGGGCTACATCACCACTACCAGATGTCAGAAGGCATCATCACCACACCAACACCAGATGTCAGGCTACATCACCACCAACACCAGATGAGAGAGGGCTACATCACCACCAACACCAGATGAGAGAGGGCTACATCACCACCAACACCAGAAGTCAGGCTACATCACCACCAACACCAGATGTCAGAAGGCTACATCACCATATATATATATATATATATATATATATATATATATATATATATATATATATATATATATATATATATATATATATATATATATATATATATATATATATATATATATATATATATATATATATATATATATATATGAGAGAGAGAGAGAGAGAGAGATGTAGTAAAATTGGAGAAAGTGTCATCACATTTTTTTCTTACAAAATATATTTTTTAATAGGATTTTTATTTAATACAATCAGCAAACATATCGTGGTGAGTTTCAGACATCACTTACATAAAAAACCCATTAATTTACATACTTCTACACTTATTTTACTATGAATTTATTGCACTCAAACTATAGATATTATTCAATGCGGCAATTTTTAGGACTCGGTAAACCACTGTCCTGTCACATGTCTTGTAAGAAGGACAAAACAAATAAAACTATTAATTTATAAAAATAATTGTTTATTACTATACATATAACATTTTATGAAGTTTATAAATTTGGGCTTTCTTTACATGCAGTTTTATGCAGTGCAAACAATAAGTCAGTATACAGAAGGTATACAATAAGAGTGAATATTTTCAGCATCTAGGCAGACTACATGATGCATTTTTCTCCATGAAATAGAGAAGAAGCTGCAAAACATTTAGATCTGTCTTGATGTTTAAGAATGGCTGAGCTTGAGGTCTGCATGGCAGCTGCGTGAGCTGGTCAAGTAGCAGCTCTGGTGGGTACAATACCACATCCAAAGCCGACAGTATTTGTTTCTTAGAGAAACCTTCTTTTAATAATGCTGAAAGGTTCTTTCTAACACTTACAACAGTCGTATGTTGCCCCCAACACTGGATATGGAGGCATTTTCTAATGACACTTGACTTTTCATTCAAGAGTTCTCCCAAGCAGATGATGACATCTCGTTTGTTCTCCCTGAGGTCGCCTACAGTAATGTATTTATGGAATCTGCTCTTGCTACCTGATAATGTGTTGAGACTTGGTACAACGTTAGTATTTTTCACCTGTTGTAAGAGATCTAAACGATACGTAACTTTATTGTAATAACACAGCAGTCGTAACATACGTGGGTGTGGGCGTAGGGCAGCAAACTCAGGGATTTGTTGAAGTAGACTGAAGCGTTGTTGGAGTGTGTCTGGGTGTAGTGTACATATCCTGGGTACAGCTTTCAGTGATTCCTATAGTACAAGAATATGGCCAAAGTAACATATTAATAATGGAGGACAGAGGCAAGGAGCCCCAATTTGCAGCCTAATGATCAACTGTGAGAAATCTCCACTAACAAACTCCTATCATGTGCTAGAGGGAGGCTACACTCTCAAATGGATCTGTATAACAATACTACAAGTGGGGATAAGTCATACATTAGGTCACTCACTGATGACTTGCACATTATAAAGAAATTAACTAACATCAACAACTGATAAGAAACTTAAAAACACATTGGTTTTCATGAACTTTACTCCATTGTAAATCAAAGAAAAAGAAGAAAAAAAAAACACAGTACATACAGTACATGCACATAATGTACTGTACTGTGAGAAAAGTCTTACCGGAGTCACCCCGATTTTGTTCAGGATAGAATCAATCTGTGTCAGTTGATGGTACGGGACGGTGAGAATACGAGGAGTCAAGGACACTAAATCCTTGATGTCTGTTCCTGCTATGAGCCTCATCTCCTTCTCAATAAGGGCCATATTGAGAGGACTACAAGTCAGCAAGAAACCATTTTGTATAATCTGAAGAAAAAACTATATTAGTAAACATGTGCTGACTTGCAATCTTTTGTAATGTACTAAATGCAGTTTTATCATTAATCCCTGTAATAATATGTCGATACTTTATAACTATGAACACAGTCTGTGAGAAACAGTCCACAGTCCACTTTCAATTTGACCCCGAGATGTGCACCAGTGTGTCCCTGACAAACACACAGCTAAATTGGGGAATAAGTTTAAAACTGAAGCCCATAAATACCTATAAATTAATAAAAAAAAAAATTATTAAGCAAATAATAAATTTTCCTAATACAATAGAACCACGATTATGTGGAGTCTAGGTAACCATCATATTCAACTAATCGGCACCAAAATGAAATGATAATAATATGAACGATAATGCCTCCAAAATCAGCTAGAATAGTAAGTTTGAATACCGCACTCAATGGGGATGAGCTGCTATACTTATTGTTATGATAAACAATAAAACTGATACATAGCATATCATAAAATACAACAGCACATACTGTATTTTAAGTACAAAAAATAGCTCCTTCCACACTCAAACCTTCCTTTGGGCAATGTGATACAGTTCAGGCAGTCAAACAGCTGCCTCACAGACATATAGCTGCTGAGCTGTATGTAAACTGTCACATCACATCAGGGAGGAAGCACGGCCACGCAGTTATAGTCCACCGCCTCCACAAACATTTACTTCCCACACATACACACCCATGCTCTTCATTTTTCTTATTTTATAGTTTTATATTACATTTTTTATTTCTATGCAACATCGTTTATATAGTGGAAAAGGTGATAACAAAGTCCGTTGTATCACTGTGCATTGTAGGATTTACTGTATGAGTGAGGTTCAATTAATGGGAAATTCTCTTTATCTGGCACCTCTCATTCCCCTTAGGTGCCAGATAAATGTGGTTCTACTGTACAATGAAAGTGAAGGCCCATAAGGAGTGTGTAGATTCAGCAAACTGTTTACTACAGTATAAAGCCTTTAGTTTACAAGAGGGCAGTGTTGCAGGCACTTGAAAAAATAACAAAAAATGTACTCATAGAGGACAACCAACTAACCCGAGTGACATAGATAATGATACCTTGGAAGTTCCAATATCCCACTGATGATGAAGCTGATGTACCACTTGCTGCTGCAATTTCATGCTCTTAGTGAGGTTGTATGTCCGACGCAGTTTGCCAATGTTGTCCTGGTCACACTTCAGACACCAACGCAGGAACACAATGCTAAGTTCTCTGTGCACCTAAAAGTAAAAATACAGTTCAAATTAATTCATTCTATAAATGTTTCATGGGGTTGTTTAACCCATTGTGTACAGGTTCCTCTCTGAACTTAATAAAATCATCTGCTGTTATAAGAAGCAATCCCTTTGTGAAGGGCTTAACAAAAAATATCAGTCAAGTGAAAGGGTATCCAATAATAGTGATATCCCCGTTAGCCGGAACAAATGATGCAGTGTTTCTGGGTTTGAGAGATTTCCAGGTATAGCATTGAAATGAATTCTCTTATCCTGGAAAAAAACACATCTACGGAATTTTTCCGGGCATTGATGAATGTTTCTGAGTCTAAACTAGGCATCTGGAAAGCACCAATGCAATGGAGGCATTATTTATTTATGTAAACACAACTGTACAGTACAGTTTATTGTAAATAAACAGTAAAAACCCCGAGTACTGGACAAATTAAACCACAGCAATGCCGTTACTCAAGACAAAATCCGTTATTTGGATGTTCTTATCAGCAGGAGGCCAAAACTGTGGTCACACTAGCACAGTTTGAACCTTGTGTTTCATCTTGTTGATCAAATGTTTCAGGCAAAATGTAAGCTAGTGTGGCTGCTCCCTAAGGCATGGATGGCCTTGTGCAGTGTGAGATATAGTGGATGATGTAGTTGTGTACAGTATACCTCTGGCAATGAAGTGGATATGTTCATGAAATTCACTTCCTTTCATGAACTTCATTGTCACAGGTAGATTTCACAATGAGTAAAAGGCAATAGGTTATAATCCTTCATTAATCTGTATTTTACAAATGTAAAAAATGATCAAAAGTGCTATAATACACAATGAAAATAATACATAGCTAATCATAAAATACAATAGAATATATTTTATGCACAAAAAAATATATCTCCTTCCGCCCTTGGAACATCCTTTGGGTGATGTGAAAATGGGCTAGTTCAGCCAGGCAGCCACCCAGCTGACTCAAGAGATGTGTGGCTGCTACACTATGTGTATACTGTGACATCACGTTGGGGAGATAGCATGACACTTCCATACATATGTTCACCTCCTACACAGACTACTGTACACACTCATGCTCTTCATTTGTTTTTTAAGTTTTATATTATGTTTGATTTTATTTCAAGGTCACACTAGAGTATTGAAATGATCTTGCCACTACTTTTACTGTTTCATTGCATGTAATTATGTATGTAGCCATCTCAAGGCCACAGCTGACTGGCAATGTATGTTATGTAAGTGAAGATTATGCAGGTGTGTTGTGGAGATGAAGCAACTGAGGGAGGTGCTGTAATTGTCCAACAGATGGCACACTGTGTAGTGCATATGACGGGGGATGGGGACCAAAGTGGAATGGGGGACAAAGGGGGAAAGAGAGGGAGGGCTGAGGGAAGGGACTTTTGTCCACCATAGTACAGTACCTGTAGTTCATAAATAAGTGAGAGATGAGGGAAGCAGCACATGCTTCTGTACCAGAGCTTAAGGCCAAACAATGGTGTGAGGAGGAGGGGTTGGCAGGTGGTGAGTGGCACAAACATGCACATATGTACACACGATGACCACCAACACCACACCACGCCACACTGTCCATCAAATAACCTTATTTTATTTTATCCTCTTCACAACAATCATTTCCCCAACACCATCACAATCACTTCCCAGCACCAGCACCAGTCACCCCCACCCCCCACACCCATACACACACTTAGCTCACACGCTATAAAATATTTTTACTTGTTTAATTATTACCTAATGTCCCCTTCAACTGATTGGTAAATTTTGTTTTAATAAAATAAAATTATCTTAAAGTCAGATGTATTTTAACAAAAATAATAAGCACTGAAAATCAATTTCTTACCTTATATTGATGATGATTGTGACTGAATGCGGCAGGACCACATGATCCACACCGCCCTGCTCCTCAACAATAACAAATGACCCTCATGATCGGCAAGATTTTTATTGTATTTTTATATTTTTAAAGATTCATGTCACATAACAGAAGTAGCCAATTGTAGCTCACGAACACTCTGAGCTACCCTACTCATGTGCTCGGCACACGATGCAATCACTTGGAAATTCATTCGAATGCCTGGAACGGAGATATTTTTCTCGGATTGCTAAAATGTTATTTTCCGGGTAATAAAATGATCTGGGGATTGAAGATTCCAGCTAACGGGGAGATTACAGTACAGTACAGTAAAATACATCAAACAGTATGCTAAAGTAATTTACAGTATTTCACAAAGTTAAATGTTTTACTGAAGTGCAGATTCTTCATTATGACACTTTAAAAAAGAAAAAAAAATTAGTTATTAACACTTAGTGTGGAACAAACCTCAGACAAAGTGCACTCATTTATATCCTGAGGAAGGTTAACTGTGAGCAGCAGTTCTTGTGGTACACCCATAGCAGCCAACACTGACTCTCGGGGGTCATACTTCTCTGGCAGGAGTCTCCAACTCTTCATTAGTGAAACTTTGCACTTGAATAGTTTATTAAATCTGCATAAAAAAATTTACAATCAAATGTAACAGTGAAAGCATTTTGCAGTCTGACTTACTTAACAAAATTGCTTAGTTTAGGTAAATTAGGATGATACAATTTACAGTATAAGTAACATAGTTGAAGGCTAAAGTGAGCTTTTATAGTTAAAATTAAAATAACAGTTTTATTTCTCAAATTCTATAATGATTAAGGTAAAAAATACAAATTTCATAAAGCACAAAAGAATTAAATAATACATTTGTGAAACCCACATAATGACAGCTGAACCCAAGCCGATAAAGCCAAATGAATTTCTTCTAATCCATTTACTGTATCTTGAGCACTCATGCATACAAATGTGTCCACAAACACACACACAGTGATAATAACAGTACAGTACTGTATACAGTAATCTCTCTATTAGCCGAAATGCCGGGTCCCTGAAACTCTCCAATAGCCGGAACTGAAATTGGCTAAAAAAATTCCGGAAAATGTTCTCAATTCTGGGTCTGCGAACGAGTTTCCGAGGTTGAGAATCTGCAGCATTTCCCCCCCAAAAAAATCAGAGAAAATTTTGGAAAAATCACTTGATTTTTTTTTCCTGTGCCTGGGAACAAATTCTGAGGATAAAATAACGCCCAATTTATGAAAAATCCCCAGATAATCTCTACAAACCTTTCTGCTCCAGGCCTGGGAACAAAGGTTCTAGGAGTTACGACAGACTGCATCATGCTTAGCTGTGTCCACACGTGCTGGATGCGTGGGTGGGAGACTGCTTGGGTAACTTGAGTCGTAGGCTCACGCACTGTGATTGGCTAATACTGTCATGTGACTGCATGGGAGGCCTGTGATAGGCTGATGCATCTCCCAGCTTATCCCCTCTAAGGCTAGCATCATGATACACTTAGTTCATAGTCCTCTGACATTGTACAAGCCAAAAATACAATGTCAAAGTACTGTAAAGGCATAAAAATTGATTTACAGTTACTTATACTGTACCATATGTGTAGGAAAAGGGAAAAACTGGAGCACCTTAGCCTTTGTCTTTATTCAAGACATCTTCAGGTCATCAGGCCCACTAGCCCCCACCCCAACAATGAGTGACCTAACATTGCATTAAGTCAGAGGCCCATAACATGAGACCACTACTGTAATCCCTCACCCCACCTCCACCACAAATGAGAGAAGACCTTACATACAATGGGTGACCTGACATTGCATCAGGTCAGATCAGTAACATGAAATCCACTAATCCCCCACCCCACCTCCATCACGAATGTTAAAAGACGCAAAAAGTGATTGCAGTTATGTATTACATTCAGAGATTGGACAGTATGCTCCTACTGTTGGTTCAAGACAACAGTAGTAATAAAAATTATTTTGTGTATTTATAATATACTGTACGTGTACAGCGGTGTTTTCATAAATAAATACAGTTCTGTACGAAATGCGCCGTTTAGACTCGGGAAAACTTTCCCCAGTGCTAGATGAAAAATTACACTGTTTTTGCTGTGACACACACCTACATTCACGCCTCACATGCCTATATCATATAGATTTTTTTTAATATACGTATATATATATTTAACCAAACTTTTAGATAACCCATTCAGGATTATTTTGGTATAAAATGGTGTTTCAAGCTCAATTAGAACTGATTTTATAGACTCCTGTATCAACATTTCTTACGTCTTTTTCATAAAAGAATTGAGTCCCAATCATTATATCGTCAAAATATTTTGTTTATGGATCTTTTAATTGAAGTGGTCTTGTAGAGAATTTATTCAGGACCAATATGGTACCAAATTCATCTCTCTTAATACAGTACAATCAGAAGAGATGAGATAATTAGATGCATAGTAGTTTAGAGATGAGATACATTCCGGGGATGTGGGATAGTATCTGTCCATGCCGGATGTATAGTTTAGACTCTCGGAAACTTTTCCCATTGCCCTGAAAAATTCCCGGGGTGTGAGATATCTCCGGGTTTGAGAGAGTCGTCTCATTACCCAGACATCTCTCATTCCTGGAAGAGCTCCACATCAGTTATTCCGGCTAACAGGAAGATTACTGCATGTACCCCCTGGATAGTGTTAATCATCATATGAAATGGAATCACATTAAAACTCTAAAATTTTCTTTGGAGGATTTGTATGAGTCAAAACATACTGTGTAGAGTGGTCACTACAGTATATATAAAGGTGGAAGGGATAATCACATTTACCTGTTGCAAGTGACAAAACCAGAGTCTGTTATGTTTGGACTAAATGGCCTAACACAATACAACACTTTCCTGCCATACACCTTCCCTGATATATTACTGCTGGTCTCCTCATCTTCCATACACTCTCCTTCTCTGTCCTATATTCATTCTCTCCGGATACCTGAACCATCTCAACACTACTTCGTCAGCTTATACTGTCAGTACTAATACAGTGAACTATTTCTACAATGAATCTTTACAGAAAAAAACACAGTAAAGTATCATAATGAAGTAATTTTTCGTTTTTAAATTATGTAATCTGTTCCACCCCAAACAGATGAGAATGGATTTATTTTGACGTGTAGCTCCAGTATAGGTTATCTCATAGGCCGAGTACCATAAGAAAATTAATGATCTTTTTTTTATTTGCAGATGAGGAAATAATAAGAAATTGGCAGAGAAATGACATGAGAGGAAACAGTCAGTTTATTATTCGCATACGGAAAGCCAGATGAGATGCTACACACCGCTCAGCTGAGAAAGAATTTATTTGAAGACACCCACATTAGTATTACTGTTGATTAAATTATTTTAAAACTGATCGGTGTAGCATCTGGTTTTCCTAACATGAATATTAAACAGATTATTTCCTCCAGTGTTAATTTCTCTGCCATCTTTATTGATTTATTATGATTCCCTCACCTGAAAACATAAAAAAACACAAAAAAACATTTATTTTCCTATGGTGCATGACCTTTGACACATCCTGTAAAAAGAGATATGTTTTACATAGTATTTCAATTAACATAAAATACAAAAGCAGCTGAAAACATTACTTACTGAATATAGTAATAGGCTGTGAGATTATGCAGACCTAGTTCCTTCAAGATAGCTATGTTGTGTTCCATGGTCAGGGGACAGCGGTACAACAGTGAAATGAATTCTTTTACCTCTTCTGGACATAAACAATTTTCCTGCAAGATTCGTACAAAATAGATTATACATTTTTTTTACAGGAGTACATATTCAACCAGAGGCCGATGTAAAGAACGTGAATTATACCCATTAGTTTATATCATACAACTGTCATAATTCCCATTGATAGATTTAATAAAATACAAAGCAATACATACAAGAATACTGATATAGTCATCAATAATTAAGGCTTAAAATCCTATTGATTATGCACACTTCACTGTTATCCATTACAATTGATGTTTTAAATTCTTACACCATGGTTTAAACTCTGCATGGTTTGATGTAACTCTGGGTGATGGACTGTGATCATCTCCTTTCCCTCTCAATCAGTGGTTTGGTTTACATCATAGAAGACACATGCCTGTCAACCCCTCACACTGGCGGTACACTATCAGGCATAAGAGCCTCACATATCTTACACCATCAAAATGACAAACCATTTACAATGTTTTAGGGACAGTCTCTCTACCTATGGTAATACTGAACAACATCTTACAATCCGTCATGAAGTCCTTGGATATTGTTATTAATATAAGACCTATGAATTTACAGGCATCACCATCATTTGCTTCTAAAACAGCTAAAAAATATAAGCTTAGTGATAATAATATTAACTCCCAACATCACTGATTCTTAACTTAATATCCTATTACACAAATGAAACTCATCTCAAAAGTAAATGGGAAGGTATTCATCACTCAATTCATACATGTTAGTAAGAGTGGGAAATTTATTTTTGCCGATAAAAACTTTGCCTCAGCCTAAGGATAGACCAATACCACTGTTATTTATTCAAGAACCCATAACTACCAATACTTCCTCTCTATCTATCTGTGTATGTAATTCAAAATACTTATAAGAATTATTTACTCTACAACAGGGAGGTGGGACATACCATAAAAGTAGTCATATTACGAGCCAGGGTGTAAACATCGCAGGCCTTAAGGCGAGGCTCCTTCTTTAGTATTCTATAGACAGTATTTCTTGATATATCTGTAAGAATGAGAACTTAATTATTACACAAATATAATAACAAATAACTTAATACCACAGACATTTCAAAACATTAATCAGTATCTCTTTGTTTTTACAGTCAGCTGCAGGGTAAAGTATGCAGGCTGTATCTGGTGAACCTATTATCCTATAAAGTGAATCAAGGAAAACAAGCTCCTTAAGAATGTAAGGTAATGGCTGGGGAGTGATGCATGCAGAGTATTGACAACAACAGGAAGGTTTCAAGGACCAGTCAGAACACTTCAGCACCTTCCTATATCCTCAACTTATAAATAAATGATACATACCGAGGTATTAAATTTTAATCTCCATATAATTATAATGTTTCTTATCAAGGTTTGAGTTGTCAAAATATTTACTAACTATATAATTGCAAAATATTTTCATGAATTTTATGATAATGTGTCAAATTCTTTGCACACTACAATAAAAGTATTATTTTATTAATTTTATTACTTAAAAAAAGGTCTAAAATTGCCAAGAGGTGAGTGTTAACTTACTAAAGTAGTTCATAAGCATTGTCACTTGGGAAGTTGGTTGTACATATCTGAGAACTACTTCTTGTTCTGGTGTTACTGCCTCTGCAGTAGAAGTGTTGGTAAATGTTACACTGCACAAAGATCTTCTCTGCTGTAACCAACTTGTATCAAATGGGGAATGACGTACCGGAACCTGTAGATGTGTTTAGCATTAAGGACATACCAAATACTGTATTATTAAAATCCCAGTAGATAAAATGGGAAATCATTCATAAAATGTCCTTCAACTCTATACAGTACTGTAATACTGTACTGTACTGTATCGGCTTTATTACTTTGTAAGGTCATACCCAGGTATCATTTGTGGGATATCTATCCTTTTAACAAAGTTTAAGCTCTGTAATATTTTCTCAGCTGTTTACACTAGGAGTCAATCTGATGTCTTAAATTCTCAACATACAGTACTGCTTCTTATTCTCGTGTGAAGACTTTAGTATAATACAGTATAGCTTATAAACTTGACCGATTTGAAGTGATTTAAAAAATGAACCTAAAGATGTACAGTACAATACCACTACTGGGCACAAGTATTTAAGAAGTCCTGGATGTGGTTCTGTTAGTAACATTTTCATACAGTTTTCCTCTCTTTAAATTCTTTACCCGTGCTAAGCAATCACTTCAACTATACTGCACTGTCCACTTCATAGGAAATCCATATTGTCTGCCAATAGACTATTAAACTAGATAGGTATGTGTTGGTTAGCATGTTTGCCTCACAAGAGAATGGTCTTAAAATGGATTTCAAAATGCAGAAGGAATTTGATCAAGTTCCTTTAATCAGACTAGTACTGGACACTGAGTTCTGAGTGAGAGAGTAACACAATATGGGTTACTCCTTGACCCTGGGTTACACAGCTTACTAATGATGGGTGTGTTTGTTGTGTTGTCAATACATTACTGGTAGCGTCTACACCTTAAAAAAAAAAATTCCAACAAGGTGACTTGACAACAAAGCATATATAATCAAGGTGGCAATCATTACTATCACTGGCCTTTCTAAAGTGACATATCCATATTTCTCTGTCACAAACTAAAGCATATCACATCACCAACAAGAAAATTCACTACAGTATACTACCGTACAGTACTAAGAAGCTCATTTGTTTCTAAAGTCACAAAATCTGCCATTAGTAAAAGGAAAAAATTGTAACTCAAAAAATTTTCTCTCCGACACCCAACACAAGTTTTGTTCCAACACAGACTTGTTGACTTTCCTAACTCATCACCTTAACTATACTCTTAGAGGTCAGTCTGCAGTGGCCATGATGGACTACATCCACAAACACAGCAACACAGTTATGAAAGCCACCTGCTGGAGGGTGTCTAGCTGGATAATTCTGTACCATATAGTCCAGGCTGTGTAGATTAGCAACCAGGATGTGCCCAGACTACAGGACAGACACAATTTTTCATGCTGATGTGCCCAGCACTTGCCCAGTGGACGAACCTAATAATATGAGAGGATAAAACCTAGATGAGAATTATCAGAGGCTGCGTGATTCCCACTTTACCATACATGTTCACCCAGGGAGGTCCATCATCAGTGTACCAGGATTAGTGACCCATGTCAGGTGCAGGTATTTTATCTCTACATTAAGTCGCCGTTGGTCAGTTAGTATCAATTTGTCAACAGTTCAAAGGAGCCACTAAGCTGAGAGGCTGTAAATGTGAGATAACAGGAGTTGCGACCTCACATGACACCAAATATAGGAAGGGGGGGGTTAGTTTGGGTAGGTGATCCACCAACTCCAAACACCCTACAGGTTGTGAGGTGAGGTGACAGGAGTTATGACATCACAAGACAAGGGTTACCACCACTGACAACATTCAGATTGACATGAGTGATCTGTGAGTTATTACATACAATAAATATGACTCTTTTAAGATGTTTATTTAACTTTTCCCATAATATAAATGTGGGAAAGCAAATTTCATCCTAAAATTTGTCAGGTCTAGTAAAAAAAAATATCTGGTTAAGTAAATTTCAAAAGTTACTTGCCCAAGAAAAGTAAATGTTTGAAATAATCTGTACAGCCTGCAGTCACATGTCATGCGTAACATAAGGAATCACAGAAATGCTACTGTTACGCAACACTGTATAAGTACTATAAAAATATTTAGTAAAATTATCGTTTCGGTCATCCACTTATTTGGAAGTTGAAATTATGTTTTTCCGATGGTTTTTGATGTGTTTTGAATGATTCTGACCTTTATTTCTACCACAAATCACTACTTTTTTAGCTACCCCCCTCCCCCTTTATCCAATGATAATGGGGTTCCCCAGTGGGAACTGGGGGTGGGGGAAAATCACAAAAAGTAGTAATTTGCGATAGAAATGAAGGTCAAAATCATTCTTAACACATAAAAAACCACTGGAAAAACATAATTTCAACCTAAACCTAACCAGTAAAAATCGGTCACAGCACTGCTTCTCAAATGCAACCTAACCTTTTCCTAACCTATTGCATGGACCCAGTCGGCTAACCTAGTGCAAGTGTAATGCAGCATAGTAACCAACAAACGAACACACAGGTAGTCTCTCAGATAGTCGTAACTAAAAATCCTAAAATTCGTTGGATGACTGAAATGATAATACTGTACAGTAATACCATATATTCCCAAAAATAAAATTACAGTTATGAATATCAACTAAAACGTGATACTAAATACCGTATCTAAATGTTATTTATAATATGGAGTCTTCTTCATTATGTACCCACGAAAAATATAAAAGTGAAATATTTACCTGTAGATGGGAGGTACGATATACTGTACGGGGGGTAGAGGTAGTAAGGCCACACACTCTTCTGTTGGTAACACTGAACCATCCTGAGGTAGAGCTGGTAATACCCACCAAGCTGTGTATCCGACTGGACTCTGATGCCAACAGTAGCTGCACACATCTCATATTTTGTGTGATTAGATGTGTAGACCTACAGAAAATAACAATTATACTGAATGACAGCCATAAAGAAATTGTTAATAATAATATTTTTTTAAGATTATCATAAAATATTGTTGTTCAATACCGTACCTGTGAAAGACATGAACACACCAAATCTAAGGGGCAATGGGAATAAGTTCACAGGGTGAGGGATGATGTGTGTGAGACTGCCACCACTGTATGACTGACACTGGTTCTTGCTTATATTCAAAATTCTTTTTCTTTGTTCCCAACTAAATTTTATTTCCATAAACCAAAACAAATACTTCTGTGAAAATCTCAAAGAAAATAAACTACTCAAAGTTTGCACAATCATTCCAGACATTTATAATAGTTACAAGTGTCATCTCTCGCTCAACAGTTTACAAATCACAAAAACTTTAGCATTAGTTCTTAACATTTCAAGAGTGGAAAATATCAATGGATGTTTCATGTTCTGTGTTCCAGTTTTTGAGAAAATGGGGGAGGCTAAGGAATCCTTACCTGCCATTTAAGGGTTAATTATACAAACTGTTTCACATCAAAATCTGCTAAAATCTATAATACAACAATAATTCAGTCATACATAGATCTGTAATTAGAGTCAATGCAGTATAATTACACTAGTATATTTCCTAGTGCTTATTCAATGACAGCCATGTTTTAAAATTAAACAAAGTGATTGGATGGCTCAACAAACATTTTACATGTCCTTAATAATCTTGATCCTTTTAAGACCATATCACATCTGATGTCCATTCATTTTCTTTAAATAACAATATGTTTACATAGTAAATTTTTACTTGTTGTCACTAAACGAAATTGAAGTTGAAACTATGTTTTTCTGGTGGTTTTTGATGTTATGAACGAATTGGACCTTCATTTCTGGCACAACTCAATAGTTTCCGAGATACGTCCCCTCCCTCCCATCTCAAAATCTATCGATTTGCTATAAAAATCAAGGTAAAAAGTGTTCAAACTGAACTAAAAGATTATATGGTATTATTTTACTTTAACACAACCATGGAATCTTGAGAATTTTACCTTTGCAGTTAATAGTTTAGACAATTCTAAGACACCTCTTCTCGACGCTTCCCCCGAAAACGACTTAAACCTGCAGGGGAGTCCAGGAGTTGGAGCCCCCAAGTTTGGAGGTTAGGTAATTTTTAGGTTATTTGCGACGGAAAGGTAATAGAAGAAAAGTCATAAAATTGCCTAAACCATCGGAAAAACACATTGCTCAACACCAGAGCCAAATTGTCCGAAACTGCAGATTTACCGTCAGCATTTATGACTTGATGTCAAAAACAGTCAATCAGAGGGTGGCTGACGTTGTCAGTAGCCGGTTTTGTAGCAGCAGCCAGTCTGGGAGTGATAGCACGGTGACAACAAATATAACTTTCTGCAAATTTGCCATCGCTCATTATCCTCATCCTATTCATTTATGAATGATCAAGTCTGATTCTTTAAAGTAAAATTTAAAAATAAGTATCAGTGAGCAAATGAACAAGCAAATAACTTGTACCTGGCACCAAACACTTGCAGTGTGAGGACAGGAACTTATAATTTGCGTCGGTATTCGTCAGTGGCGGAAAGTAGTCAAAGTGGCCCGGTATCCCTTTACTCGTGGCTTTTCCAACAGAGAGAATCCAGGTTAATCTTTTATCCTCCTTCAATTTTGTCCATATTCCCTTTTTAGATTTCAGTCAAAATGCATGATGGTAAAAAAAGTTTTCATATTATTGAAATAATTATGTTGAAAGCGATTTATGGCTAAAGTAAAACGATCTGTCCAAGCAAACATCTTGCAAATGAAAATGCACCATTAAAAATTATACGTGTTTAAAGACCTTCGTTTTTGAAGCGCAATACAGCAATAACACTATAACAATAACCTCAACCCTCAGATGTTAAATATCAAGTACAGTACTGTACCATCCCCGCCAATAAAGTATTACAGGGAAACTATGTATACAACTTCATAAATATACAAATGCAAGATTTTCTCGACTACGATTACATTCTGAATAATCATGATAATATAGTGTTTCTATCTCATGATCAGTACATTACAGAATTAAAATAATGACCACATTAAAATGATAACACATCCATCGCTGTTATATCCAAACTTCATGAGTGGTAGCCGACAGTGTTTATTTAGACAGTTGTACTGTAATTATATATGTCATTTAACAAAAAATTATTTGAATTTGACTTATTCTCAGTTTTCAGCTGAAATCTGAACCCAAACTTAGGAAGATGTTGGACATTTTTGTTTTAAGAAATTATTGATGTGTAGTTTTAACTTCAGTGTCGTGTATCTGACACTGGTGGCAAATGTGAGGTGTTCATCCCAGACGAACCTCTACTCTGCGCACCTATTAACAGTAAAAAAAAGTATTACTCATAATAGATGCGCAGAGGATAGTCGCAAACACTCTTTTTTTAAGCTCTCTTCAGTAGCAGCTGTTGCTCATAACAAGACTGAAGGAGAGAGGTAGTTCTTGCTGTATAAAACAAAGCCAATCAAATGAGAAAACTACCCTGAACGGCCCACCCTTCTTTCCTCGTCTGTATGGGAGTCACCTGATGTAGAAATTCCTGAACTGCCTTTACTCTACTGTACTGTACTCTCCAAGAACTGTATCTCTGGCATGGTGGCTTAATTCTCTTCAATACCCACCACACGTCTCTCCTCAGAAAAATTTTCATAAGTAACCCTACTCAAACACACACAAACACACACACACACACACACACACACACACACACACACATATATATATATATATATATATATATATATATATATATATATATATATATATATATATATATATATATATATATATATATATATATATATATACACACAACACCCTTGTCAACAGCCTGTGAGTGAGTCCACCCCAAGGGAATATCCTAAGACCGTTCCTCTCCCTTTGCTATGTAAATTAAATTCCGAATTAGTTACCTTTAAGGTGTTGGCGTCACTCACTACACTACTCACTGCCTCAGTATCTTGTGAACGTCATCGGAAATACATAACCTACATAAGGAAACAGGTAATACCATATAATTTTATACGTCAACGGGGATACGTAGTCGGGGTCAAAGTGTTGAACACTTTGCAATATCTGGCATCACATATTATGCCTGAACCACAAAATGGGATAAAACTCTCCTTAATACCCAAGATCTTCGGGTGCTTACATGCCAAATACTATCAAGTGTTCAAAACTTTTGACCCCGACTGTACATAAATAAGGTTAATACCATAAAATTAAATATAATTATTTTTAATATGTAATTTGTGGATTTAAGTCAAATTATTGAAATAAAATATCACATGAAGATTAGTCCCATTTTATTTCACCATAAATTAAACCAAGTTTTAAGACTGGTGCCTGCACTTCGGCACCTCAGGTACCGGGAGAGATTAGAACGCCCGCAGTGTTACATATAGGCGGGCAAGGGTTGGCGTAATAAAAGTTGAGAAACACCTCAGAGGGTATTACTCATTCGAGTGTTTTTACCTGGAGGTGGCGGATGCCCGCTCCATTGACGTCACAGCTTAAGGTTGAAGAAGCTACAAGTTCAGAAAATTGTCAGGGCAAACTTTTTTTTTTTAGTGAGTTGTGAACTCTTGGAACAACCTGCCAGAGAGAGCTGTAACGGCACTGAGTGTGAGCTCATTAAAGACCAAACTTGACCAGCACTGGCACAGGAACAAATATACTCTGGAGCAGAATCGGAGTACGCACTGTTTGGGGGCTGTACCATTTCATTATAAGTTGGGCCCATTCCACCCCACTAGGTCTGCTCTCGACGGGATCGCATCTGGATCAGGGGAGAACAAGGACCTCACCCTTCGAAGACAGGGGATAACGTCATCACTTCAGGATGCCAGTGATATTCCTGTAGAAACCAAGTCATTTCGGTATCTCGGTGAATGAGGCAGCAGATAGACTCGCCAATACCGGCTCTAACATGGTCACACTGATTTTGGCGTCCCTCTAACATATCGACAACTCAGAACATAAATCCGTCACTCCCCGCCCACCTGGCACGATGCCCTCCGTAAACTTCCTGACCTCTCGTATGTGTAGGGGAGAGGGTCGCGGAAGAGGGGCGTGATTGCTGCTTGACTCATCATCGGATACGATTTTGCTTGGTAGACTGGTATCCTCACCTACCCCGAGCAACGACGTGCTTGTGTATTATGCAAGAGAGCAGACAGCCGCACACTCATCCACTACAATGTCCCCACACACAACACTTCAGTGACGTCTGCTACGACCTCATGACGGAGGCACCATACTAATCACCTGCATGCTGGCCATATATAATAAATAATATTGATGTTATTTTGAAGGAATGTCCTTCCTTCCTTAGGCTTCAGTACTTGAGACTCCTGCCAGATGCTTCTGGTAACACTGAAAATTGAACACCGTCAATGATTCATTTATATAAGTTTATAAATTGTTTGGTAAAGTAGTTCAGAATGAAATACTGACCACAACGATGATAATAATGTACAGTAGTGTATGTCATTTATAAGTTACAAATTTATTGGTATTACTCATATATTTAGTGCTATTTGATTGGCCGAGGTTAATAATAGGGACAAATCTCGGCACGTAGTCTCTCGCGACGGCCGAGAATTGAACGATGGAGCAAGAGAGAACGTGACTAACATATCTCGTCCGTATAATTGGCCAAAAGCCACGGTGTATATTAGTTACCTGCTCCACAAAAGAATCCAATCCCAGTGGAAATAAACTTTTAACACGTTTCTTGGATTATTCTTGAGAGGATCGACTTACTGTTTCCCTTTATATGTATACAACACAGGACCTGAATTATGAGACATGTGAATTTGTATGGTACTTTTAATATCTTCCTATATATCTGTATGTCTCTCAGGTTGTATTTTTACGTTGTGCAGCACCATTGTGAGGAGGGTAAGGGAAGCCCGCTTACACACCCTCATCGGCTCACCGTTCACGTGAGACACCCACCAGGCAAGTCAGGTGGGTGTCCAGAGCGTGTATATCGTTCCCAGCCTTCTCAAAACGTCATGTTATCCTTGACACACACTCAAGCTGGGAGACAGTGGAGATAGATATCACCTTTAATTGAATATTCCAGGAAAAAATAGAAGCCGTGTGTCAACAGTGGCATATACTTGTGTACAATTCAGGAAGAGAAAGTATTGAGTAAATTCTGTCATCATATCCAGTATTTTCCGTTAACGGAGTAAGTAACTGCCAACGGATACTTTGTTTTGGTAAATTCCAGTATCACTTTTCTTGGGATTAATCAATTTTTTTCTCATAAACTCGACACACTGAGGAATAGTTTTGGCTGTCCTAAGAAATTTAAGAAAATAAACCTTCAGATGATTCCACCTTTCTGCACTGGGCGTGACGTCAGCGTAGGAAATTCTGGAAGTAAACATTAACATTGGACCAACTTAAGTTATGTTATGTTATGTTTCAGCCCTTCAGTATGAGATTTTTAACCTTTTAAATACAATGCCCAATTACCGTGAGTGTGATTACATTGTACTCAAGGAGTTGTCATCATACTCAAGGGGTTATCATCATACTCAAGGGGTTGTCATCATACTCAAAGGGTTGTCATCATACTCGAGGGATTGTCATCATACTCAAGGGATTGTCATCCCGATATACGGACAATTAGTACATAGCTTGGTCTACCTGGGGTCGGCCACCACACATTGTAGTGGTCCAGTGATGAGTGATGATCGCTCCCAGTGTCAACACCTGACTCAACTACTGTACTCAGATTAGGCTAAAATGTACCTCAATATTGCCAATAAATTAGATGAACTAAACGAGGGAGGACGCCTCTAGATTGTTCACCTCCCCCACGCCCCATTCACTATGGCGTGAATGAACTTACTCGTGTCTACTCTAGCGAGAGGTGAAAATGATATCCACTAGCAAAGGACTGACAGTCTGTTCACCCAATACGATGAGTTTGTTCCCTTCCCATATAAGTATCGTCGACGCGGACTTGTGGTTCACAGACATAATATTGTCTTGACTCGCTCCACACCTATCTGGCAAGTTTCTGAGGCGGAGAACGTCCCGCACTTCTCTTCCTACAAACTGTGTAACTGTCCTGCCTCGATTGTGTTACTTTCAAGGACTTTCCGTCACAAGAGGTCACTAATGTTGTATTCCCCATTACTTGCACCTCACTCTTGAAGAGCGTTACGAGGGACGGACCCTCTAATTATCTGTACCTTCTTATAAGACCTACTAGTTTAGTTGCTTGATTCACCTTCTTCTCACAATGCCCCGAGAACTTCAGTTCATTGTTGACATACCCATCAAGGTCCTTTTCGCATCCAGTCTCCTTTAATGCAGTTTCTTCGTCCTGTTGGGACATTTGATACGCCTCCTTACCCTTGGTACGACCGAGGTGCATCCTCTTACACTTCGTGACATTGAATCTTTGCAGCCATTTCGTCGACCATTTTTGAAGCTCACATAGATCTTGATGCAGCTCTTCGTAGTCTGCTTGGTTCTTAATTTCCCTGAATAACTTGGCATCATCCGCAAACATTTGTATGGAAGAGTGTACAGCTTCAGGCATGTCATTTATGAAGCAAACAAACAACAATGGGCCCAATACACTGCCTTGTAGTTCCCCACTTGTCACGGTTACACATTACGATTTCGTACCATTAATCACCACCCACTGCTTGCGGTCATGCAGAAAATCTTCGATCCACGCCAGTACACTTCCCCGAATACTGTACCCTCGTTCAGTTGTACTTTCCGCGTGGTGCCGCCCCATCTGCGTAATTAATTAAAGGAGAAAAAATCCACAGGTCAACTTACCACTACAACACACCTTATTGATACTAGCACAATCAAAAGTCAAATAACTACATAGAAGCTTGATCAAGTAATATGTTGTGAGGTGTTTGAGGGGCGACAAGCCTAAGTCAGAGATCTGTATCCCTCGTTATATTAAGGTGATGATGATTATAGTGTATATTACTTACTTGTTATCTGGTATACACGTTTAAAGGCTTTAGATGTTGAAGCAGCGCAGTAATACAGTACAGTATATCAACATTCATCAGTTACCTGTAAACGAGGCAGACGCGAAACACTCCCGGCGGTTCGTAAAGCAGTTAAGAAAGGTAAGCAGAGTGCTACTGACGCAGGTAATAAAAACGGAGACTTACCGGGAGCCACAGTATACGTCTGTAGGTGTTCCTGGTGTGGTGGTCAGGTGTAGGTGTTCCTGGTGTGGTGGTCAGGTGTACTGTAGGTGTTCCTGGTGTGGTGGTCAGGTGTACTGTAGGTGTTCCTGGTGTGGTGGTCAGGTGTAGGTGTTCCTGGTGTGGTGGTCAGGTGTAGGTGTTCCTGGTGTGGTGGTCAGGTGTAGGTGTTCCTGGTGTGGTGGTCAGGTTCAGTTCAACTTCCAACAGCAAAAGTTTTTTTGAGAAAAATTATAATTGAAAAATTCATTTTCGAACACAATATTGTTTAACAGATATTGAATACACATGAACTGTATAACAGGTGTTGAACACCTACAGGGTATGTACGACAAGTTTTGAGTACTCATGAACAACAGATGTCGAGTACTCATGAACAACAGATGTCGAGTACTCATGAACAACAGATGTCGAGTACTCATGAACAACAGATGTCGAGCACTCATGAACAACAGATGTCGAGTACTCATGAACAACAGATGTCGAGTACTCATGAACAACAGATGTCGAGTACTCATGAACAACAGATGTCGAGCACTCATGAACAACAGATGTCGAGTACTCATGAACAACAGATGTCGAGCACTCATGAACAACAGATGTCGAGTACTCATGAACAACAGATGTCGAGCACTCATGAACAACAGATGTCGAGCACTCATGAACAACAGATGTCGAGCACTCATGAACAACAGATGTCGAGTAATCATGAACAACAGATGTCGAGTACTCATGAACAACATATGTCGAGTACTCATGGACAACAGATGTCGAGTACTCATGAACAACAGATGTCGAGTACTCATGTACAACAGATGTTGAGTACTCATGAGCATATCGAGTACTCATGAACAACATATGTCAAGTACTCATGCACAACAGATATTGAGTACTCATGAACAACAGATGTTGAGTACTCATGAACAACAGATGTCGAGTACTCAGGCACAACAGATGTTGAATACTAATGAACAACAGTTGTTTAGTACTCATGAACAACAGATGTCGAGTACTCATGCACAGCAGCTGTTAAGAACTCATGCACAACAGCAGCTGTGAGTACTCATGAACAACAGATGTCGAGTACTCTTGCACAACTGGTGCTGAGTACATATATAAAAGTGTTGGATATACCTGTTGTACAAATGTACAACAGGTGTTGAGGTACACACATGTACGGGTCACAGGTGTACACAGGCGGGCGCGGGGGAGGACAGTCCAGTTGATCAATAAATTGGCAAACACGACAGAGTTGCCAGGCGTCGCCACCCACACTATCTCTCACACTGAGGGTCTTACAAGTTTAATAGTTCTACGTTTATATCATCTTTACATATGTGATATATTGTACAAAAAATAATAGTGTCACTCTGGTCAGTAATACATTAGATGGTGTAGACGTGTTAGTCTTGTGATAGTGAAACATACATGAAAGAGTTTTGGTTTAGTGTTGAAAGTAAGAAGAGTGACCATCACAGCTGACCCTCACTATTGTCTCACTCACTGACCGCTCTGCCTCTGACACTTCCTATGTCTTAAACCACTTAAATAAAAACCTCTCCAGATTTTTTTTAAGCCCCAGATTTTCACTTGACTTCGCTCGGCAGAAGCAGAGCGTCCCATCCTGGAATTTCTGGACCCTTTCCCGCCACTCTCTTCTGCCTTTTGTTTACAAGTCTTCTCTGCTCGCTTAGTCAACAATGTCACGTCTTTATTATGTAATAATTTATTGGCTGCTAGTATCAGGAGGCAATAAACTCGATTATTGTGTGGAGAGATGGTTAGGGGTATAGTTAACACTGTAGGAGAGAGAGGGAGAGTGTAGGAGTGAGAGATAGAGAGCAAATGAGAGCGGTGGGTGGCGGGGGCGGTAGGCAGTGCGGGGGCAGCAGTTAGTCTCCCAGCCCGGGCTCCTAGCAGCTGGGTGCCGCCTCACCTCTGTCTATCTTGCCTGTCACCCCAGCCCACTGCCACCTCTCCACGTCCACTTTCTCACCTAATGCCCACGAAGAGCACCACCTGGTACCTACCTGTACATGGTTAACGGACAGCTGGAGAGAGGCCAGGTGGTGGGCAGACGTGAAACTTGGTTGTGTACTCACTAGCTGCTGACAGGTACCAGCTGCTGGATATAGACACTTCTGAGTGACATATGAGAAGCCATGTGTTGTGGTGTAGGAGATCTCAGGCACAGTACCAACTGCCAGGGAGACGTGAACCAGCTGGTGTGTTTCCTTCCCCCGACAAACACAATGGGGTCTTAAAGGTGGTGTTGCGGCCAGGGGTGCGTCAACCTACCACACTTTAAATGTTGTGCCTGGGGGTCCACACCTCGTACTTCGGCTACACGATACAATACTGTGCTACACAACGACCACGATACAATTTTACGATTAAATAGAAACCACTCAAAACTATACAACAATCCTGAGGTTCTACGATACTTATAATAAAGTGTAAAACGTGTATTTTAACATTGTGAAGACCCACTTTTGAGAACACGTTACTAAGTTAATTAAATAAACAAAGTTATTATGTGATTCTAAATTTAATATCACAAAGCACGTATGAGAAATCAGGTTTTCCACTAAACTGTAAAGCATTTGGGGAAGAATTTCATAATACTGGGCTCAGATGGACAGCAGTATGATCCCAACTACTGTAGATTGAGTAAACAAAATACTACGAAAACAACAGAAAAAAAGACGAAAAGAACATATCCCTAAATCACATGATATTCAATATAAAATAAAATTAAATAAAAACAAATAATTATACAGATAAATAATACTTACGGATATATTTTGTTTTTCAGAAGAGTGTTGAAACGTATTATGAGATTAATTACGACAGGATGAACTAGGAGTGAGTTAAGACCCAAGTAGGAAAAATAAAACCTTGTGTAATGTTGTGGTGATTGTCAAAATTTAATACATATGGTAATGGTGATAAATTTATGGTGATGGTGATAAATTTATGGTGATGGTGATAAATTTATGGTGATGGTGTGAAACTTATGGTGATGGTGATAAATGTATGGTGATGGTGATAAAATTCATGATAATGGTGTGAAACTTATGGTGATGCTGACGAATTTATGGTGATAGTGATAAATGGCACTGTTGTGGTGATGGTGACACTGTGATCTAACTTGTTTTCTTGTTTCAAAGTACATGATCTTGTTGATGGTGAAGGTATGGTGATGGTGTTGGGGAAGGAACACTTCTAATGATGGAGAGATTATGGTGTTGGAGATACAGTGACAGCGAGGGTCCAGGGAGGTGGTGAAGGACAATATGAATTACTAACCATTGTTTAGAGGAAATTGCCAGTGTTGGAGAAGACTTTATTGGTGTTGGAGACTTTATTAGTGTTGTGGAGACGTTTATAATTGTTGGGGGAGACTTTAGTGTCAGGGAGACTTTAGTGTTGGAGACTTTATTAGTGTTGGGGAGACGTTTATAAGTGTTGGGGGAGACTTTAGTGTTGGAGAGACTTTATTAGTGTTGGAGAGACTTTATTAATGTTGGAGAGACTTTATTAGTGTTGGGGAGACGTTTATTAGTGTTGGAGAGACTATTAGTGTTGGAGAGACTTTATTAGTGTTGGGGGAGGCATTAAGGTTGGAGATACTATTAGTGTTGGGGAGACGTTTATAAGTGTTGGGAGACGTTTATAAGTGTTGGAGGAGACTTTAGTATTGGAGAGACTATTAGTGTTGGGGAGACGTTTATAAGTGTTGGAGGAGACTTTAGTGTTGGAGAGACTTTATTAGTGTTGGAAAGAGTATTAGTGTTGGAGAGACTATTAGTGTTGGAGAGACTTTATTAGTGTTGGGGAGACGTTTATAATTGTTGGGGGAGACTTTAGTGTTGGAGACTATTAGTGTTGGAGACTATTAGTGTTGGAGAGACTTTATTAGTGTTGGAGAGACGTTTATAAGTGTTTGGGGAGACTTTGGTGTTGGAGACTATTAGTGTTGGAGACTATTAGTGTTGGAGAGACTTTATTAGTGTTGGAGAGACGTTTATAAGTGTTGTGGGAGACTTTAGTGTTGGAGACTATTAGTGTCGGAGAGACTTAGTGTTGGAGACTTTATTAGTGTTAGACTTTATTAGTGTTGGGGAGACTATTAGTGTTGGAGAGGTAGGCAGTGTTGGGGTTTGCCAATGTTGAAGAGAATAACAGTGCTAGACAGGTTGCCCGTGTTGGAGGAGAAGCCATCAGTGTTGGAGGAATCTTTATTAGCGTTACAGAGATTCCCAGTGTTGGAGAAGACATTACCACTGTTGAAGAAAAGGTTGCAGGTGTTGGAGAAACTGTCAGTGTTAGAGTGGTTGCTAGTGTTGTTGGAGTAATCACCAGTGTTGGAGAAGATCATTACGAGTGTTGGAAGCAAGAAAACCAGTGTTGGAGAAGACGTTACCATCGTTGGACAGATCGCCAGTGTTGGAGAAGACATTATTACCCGTGGTGGAGGAGCGGTCACTAGTGTTGAAGATGGTGGAGCTTGGTGGAGGGGGTCCAGACGGGCCTATTGAACACGGTTTCTCCAACAGTGTGTTCATAGTGGCAGCAGCTGTCCTCTTGCCTCTTGTGGGTCAGTATCCGTCTTGTTCCTCCCACCACATTGTACAGCTGTTCCTCCCACCACACTGTACAGCTGTCCCTCCCACCATACTGTACAGCTGTCCCTCCCACCACACTGTACAGCTGTCCCTCCCACCACACTGTACAGCTGTCCCTCCCACCACACTGTACAGCTGTCCCTCCCACCATACTGTCAGCTGCTCACCATACTGTACAGCTGTTCCTCCCACCACACTGTACAGCTGTCCTCCCACCACACTGTACATCTGTCCCTCCCACCACACCGTACAGCTGTCCCTCCCACCCACACTGTACAGCTGTCCCTCCCACCACACTGTACAGCTGTCCTCCCACCACACTGTACATCTGTCCCTCCCACCACACTGTACAGCTGTCCTCCCACCACACCGTACAGCTGTCCTCCCACCACACTGTACAGCTGTCCCTCCCACCACACTGTACAGCTGTCCCTCCCACCACACTGTACAGCTGTCCCTCCCACCATACTGTAGGCTACAATGCACCATGTAGTAGTAGGTGTCCACAATACCCTGTAGATCTCAACCCGCCCTTACTCGGGTCATGTGTAGATTCCCTCCCCTGAGCTTATTTCACCTGATGATTAGACACCCTAACGCTGTCTGTAGGTGGAGTGTGTGGGGTTAGGTTACGGGTAGCGTTAGATAAGCTGGGGATGCTAATCTTTACGTGGTGCAGATAAATAATTTTTCCTTTCAAGACAATTGTATCATTTAATGGGTTCAGGCATGCCAGTATTGTTGTTACTGTTTACTTTGTATCATAATTAATCTTTCTATATAAACTGTTTCTATTTCAGTCCTACAGACATACAATACAAACCATCCGAACCGGAGCTATGAACGAGCACATCCTGGCAGCGTCCGAGTGTGTTCGTTCATAGATGCCGAGAGTTAGTTCATATTATGCTATGGTAGATATGCAAGGGCGGATCCAGAGGGGTCCGGACCCCTCCTCCCCGCCCTTTTCACCAGAAAATTTCAATACCTTTTCTTTAATGTAGTATTGTACTCGGGTGTTTTTGTATAGTAAAAAGTATTTACTATTGACTTCAGAATATGTAATGTCAAATGCACATGGCCTCAAAATAGCTTTAAAATGCCCATGATATTGGTCAGATTTAAAAAAAAACTATGGGAGGGTGGTACAGCCCCCCCCTCAAAAAAAACAGTTGGGTGGGCTCGCTGTGCTCGCCATTTTCCCCACCCACAACTTTTTGGACCCCCCCCTTTTGATATTCCTGGATCCGCCCCTGATATGTGTCACAATGTAAGGGTTCAATGTCTATTGCGGTGAGTTAGTCTAGTGTTTGAAATGTTCTTAACCTCTTGAGTACGACGAATTAACCCTTTGAGTACGATGGCTACAACATACCCCCTTGAATACGACGACTTAACATTTTAACACACCTGCAGCACACGTGCAACGCACTTCAACACACCTGCATCACACATGTAACACAGTTCAACACACCTGCAGCACAAGTGTAACAGTTCAACACACCTGTAGCACACGTGTAACAGTTCAACACACCTGCATCACACGTGTAACACTGTTCAACACACCTGCAGCACACGTGTAACACAGTTCAACACACCTGCAGCACACGTGTAACAGTTCAACACACCTGTAGCACACGTGTAACAGTTCAACACACCTGCATCACACGTGTAACAGTTCAACACACCTGTAGCACACGTGTAACAGTTCAACACACCTGCATCACACTTGTAACAGTTCAACACACCTGCATCACACGTGTAACAGTTCAACACACCTGTAGCACACGTGTAACAGTAAGTGTGGTGTGTGTTGCAGTTTTTTTCGCCGTGAAGCTGGTGCGGACGTTCTGGCAGCGAGAGCGACGCCGCCACGAGAAGCGTAAACTGAAACTGGAGCGTCACAAGAAGAAGTGATGGGCCCTCCTCCCTCCGGCCCTGAGTGGCCGGGGCTCTTCTCCCTCTGGCTCTGAATGGCCCGGGGCTCTCTTCCCTCTAGCCCTGAGTGGCCCGGGGCCCTCCTCCCTCTGGCAGTGAGTGGCCCGGAGCCCTCCTCCCTCCTGCCCTAAGTGGCCCTCGGCCCTCCACCATAAAGTCTAAGTGGATCGGAGACCTCTTGTCTCTGGTCCTGGGGTGCGGGGCCCTGACTGTGGCGTCTGAAGCTGTCGACTACAACTGTGGGTATCCTGGCGGTGCTGTCTGTAAACCAATGAACGGTCAGGTCTGTTCGTGTTCTCATACTGAAGTGGTGAATGGCTGTTTTTCTGTGACGTAATTATTTCTGCTCGGTTACAAAGCCATTCATACAACCGTTAAGAGATACACAACAATGACTACAGTAGGCGAGAGAAGAAAAATATAAATAAATATACGTATATACCTTTCTGTCCATGACCTAACACAGGATCCAGTCGTGCCAGAAGTTTAAGAGAGTAATAATTGTTGTCGTTCCACTTATAAGAAGTAGTTAACCACAAAAGGCCATGTTGTCTTTGAAACACCTTTGCTTTTTTTAAATTAATCAGGACTAAGGTGTGGGCAAACGTGTGTCATCCTTGTGTTTCTTACCTGTAGTCTCTCGGGCATCACACTAACTACATAACTAGTCTATGGTTTAAGAGACTAAAGACTATTATATGTTGTTCGTCAGTCCGGGATCAATGAGGGAACAACTATATAAATCAGTAAGCTTGCGGGGGAGGGGGGAGAGGGAGGGAAGGGGGTGTGTGTGGACAAGCGGGAATTAAAGGATGAGAATGAAGAACTTATAGATCTAAGAGGGGGTGGAGGAGGGGGTAACTCTCCTGGTTCCTGTGTTCGGTCGCTTCACCAAATGTTACATCTTCAATAAATGGTGTTTCATAAGAGTGTTTTTATTTCGTGATCCTTTTGAGTTCTAGACACACACACACACAAAAAAACCACACACACGTCTATTTTATATGCCAGCAGAATACACTGACTTAATACCACTGTTTTTATAATACATTAAACAAGGCTCCCAAGTTGCTATGACATGCACAAAACTGCACTTAGGGTGATGAGACGCCCAGAATACACGAGGCTATAGGGGCAGCTGGACAACATAGAACCCTAATGGCAATAAGTTCATAATGGTTTTCTAGTGTTATTCTTGGTCACGTTTGAGACTTGCTCTTTATCATTGTATAACTGCACTGTCGATGTAATGTACAGTCGCCTCCACTTCCGCCTTCAACAGTAAGCCTGCTCTCACTGTAAAAGATTCCCCGGTCCAGCGAAGAGTATCAATGATAGTAACTCAACTCAATTACAGTTTAGTTTATGTGAGTCGATATAAAGGCATCCTCATATATCTTCTATTATGAATTTAATTGAGTTTTCAGATGATTAATTACATAAATATCCCAGTTATCTGTAAATAAACTTATGATCCTTGGATAATCCGGGTAAGTACGGTTCGTCTTGCTGCGTGACGTTGAACGTGCGTCTACGATTCTTTAGCAAATTCCAAATCATTCGTTCCTGGCAGGTGTGAGTGAAGGCGAGGCGCCTCACACAGTCCGCTCCTGCCACCTGCCGCTAGTAGGAAAATAAGTCGACCACCAGACCACCACACAATGGTCTGTCACGGAGGACAGTAATGCGCAGCTTTTCTACACCTTAACCAAGAGGGAGGAACTTCCTGCAGGGGGCGTGAGACCCTAAAGAACAATTTTTTTCCACTCACACTTATTTCCCACTTTCAAATTTAGTTTCACACCCCCCACCCTCACCCCTTCTCAACAATGATGACTGTGCCGCTTCAGCTTCACCAGTATCTCAAAAAAACATTTACACATAAGTGGAGACATCCAACAGTGAGTTATACAGAACTTATATACCTCGCGTAAAGCCTGCCCGATAACTCAAGCGTGTAACATCACCATACCAGAGAGTACGACGAGACACGATTTGACTCTTCAAAATATAACAAGGAAATGTGAACAAGTTTTAGATTTTACTGTTTGGAGGGAACTCAGGAACACGAAACATGAAGTGAAAACCTACAAAGATTAAGCTGAAATGCCACAGAATTATAGGTACTGGAAATATTGTCGGCTATCCTTACGCAAATTGGCTTACTGTTTACAATTGTTGTATATCTGTAAGCGCATAAAGAGGTTATTTAATACACTATTCCATCAACAATTAAGAATTATAAGATAGAGTTCTCGAGGTTGTGGGAGAGGAGACATGACTTTTGTGGGTGACTGTACAGTACTTCCACAGTCTATATACTGTACAACATATACCTGCATTGTCTATAGTCTATACACATGCTGAACTGTGTACCTGCATTGTCTATAGTCTATACACATGCTGAACTGTATACCTGCATTGTCTATAGTCTATACACATGCTGAACTGTATACCTGCATTGTCTATACCAGTGGTTCTCAACCTTCTTCACTCCATTCCCCCCTTGAGGAATTTTCAACGTCCTCGTGGTCTCCTTCATTTTTCTCCCAGAACAGACAAACAGACAAGTGATAAAGACTAAAGAATGATAAATAGGACAAGAGTTAGAATAGCAAACACACATTCACATACATAACACGCCCATGCACTCACACAAAAAGCACACATACAGTCATACACAAACATGCACACAGGTAAACATTCACACTCAAGCTAGCAAGCTGAAGTGTACTTCCTGTAAGCAAGAACACGCCTCCTTCGACAAGTACTGCCCAACTTGGAAGAATGAGAAGAATAGTGAGTCATACCAATTCAGCACTAAAAATGGTAGGATTATATAAGTAAAGAATGAGTATGAACAACAATGGTACCAATAAATAAGGAAATAATTAATAAAGGAAGTGTACAAATATTTCACCCACGTAAAGCAGCGACCACATGAATTATTTAACAAAATAAGTAACACCAATTATAGAGTATATTATGCTTGAGTTAAGCTCAAACACAATATATGGTTCAGAGACAATACACTCCACTGAGACCCTTCGGTCCTATCACCACTTGCAAAGGGATGACACACGGACACGTATTGAACAAGTCAGTTCAGCAGCTCGGCCCAGCGCTTGTCACACAGACAGGTACTGGACCTGTGAAATCTTAAATAATCCGTAAAAAAAAATAAATAGCACCAGAGTATGTAAATATTAAAATTGTATTGTCGTCATGATTAAACAAAATGACAAAAAAGTCAAAATAAGTAATACAAGTTTTGTTTAATTCAGATTCCCAACATTATTTGGAAACGTACAATTTATAACAGCTCGCCGTGGCTCCCCTAAATTCTTGCCGTGGCTCCCTTGGGGGCCGTGGCTAGGTTGAGAACCACTGGTCTATACACATGCCAAGCCAATGGTAAACCTGTATGGTGATTTTACTGACTCGCTTACAACTGCGTCTGGACTTGACTGTACACACCCAACTGTTTGTTAAGAGTTGCCGTTCAACCAACACAACATATCTTATACAAAAATATTATATAATTCGTTTGTGTTACGGTACCCATAAAGTTTCTAACTGGACAGAAACGAAACCACATGACTCCCACGTGAGCTCTTAACTATTGCTTTCATAAATAACTATACCGTATATATACACCAACAATGTACTTCAAAAGTCTCTCTAACTTAAAGTGTTAACAACCAGTTATGTGATTATCCTCATAACAACGTATAATTACATTGCAAAATTATTATTATAATGACTTAACAAGGTTAGATCCGGTTAGGTTGGGTCAGGTGTGAACCACAAAAATTATTTACTGTTAATACAAATTATATAATTATGAGACATAACCTAACCTAACCTAACCAAACTGGGGGAGCCCTTGACCCAGTACAGAAAGACATCGGACCTGTACATTATTAACAGGTGAGCGAGTGGGCGTCCACACACAGGAAGGTATACACCGCACCGTGCCCCAGGGGTAATTTAGCTCAACCCAAAAGCTATTTTCACACTATACGGTATTCAGGTTGTATATAACTAGAATTTAATTTGGAACACATGTGAATCTGTCTCAGGAGGCCGTGTAGGCAGGATAATACTGTTCTGCGTAATTTCTTCTTCCCTCAAAAGATGATATTACAGCTTCCATTGTATGTAAATCTCCCATTGTTGTTTCACTGACCCATATGAATCGATTTATGCCGTACATCATTGCGTGTTTGCACTGGACCGCCAACCCGATTGCCTCACCAACACCTGCCTGGGTCCTTTTTGTTGAATTAGCGCAGCAGTTGAAATAAATCGATCTAGTTAATAAAGCGAGGGTGATGAAGTGGTCTGGATGAGAGCTTAAACACACACAAGCATATAGTGCAAACTCCGCTGAAGCCAATATGAACATGGTCCACACATCTGGCTTAAGCTTACCAAGGTCCACACATCTGGCCTAAGCTTACAAAGGTCCACACATCTGGGCTAAGCTTACAAAGGTCCACACATCTGGCCTAAGCTTACAAAGGTCCACACATCTGGCCTAAGCTTACAATGGTCCACACATCTGGCCTAAGCTTACAAAGGTCCACACATCTGGCCTAAGTTTACAAAGGTTCACACATCTGGCCTAAGTTTACAAAGGTCCACACATCTGAGCAAGGCCACAATGTTTTATACACTACTGGGTGAGACGATAAAACTTAGCATACGTGGATAAGTTCAGAATTCTCAGAGTCGTCGTTGTTTTCCTTCGTCCTCGACTCAAGACGCGAGAACGCATCCAGACCGCGCGGGAAAATCTCTCTATTTCAATGTTGACGCCATTACGGGCCGCCAGCTTTGTTTCGTAACCATAGTAACCAAGTGAGTGGCGTTCATACGTCATCGAGTTTGGGGTGGGAAAAAAATTAAATGCCGGGAAGTTTGAGCAGTGGGATTTTCCCTGTTGCGGGTATAATGGGTTGTTGTGACCCAGATTTTCTCTCAGCCAGCTTGCGACTCATCCCGGACCCAAGGAGCAATGGGCGTATATATTTTTAATTTCAATTCATCGTTTCACCATTTTTATCAGTTTACTAGTTGTACGGCCTCGAGCTGAGATTCACTGGACAGAAACAATTGCTGGTCAAAATATCCATGGACAAAATAGCAATGGAGAGGATAACAATGGACAGAATTCCGACTGGAGTACATACTACAGGATAAGATAACATTGGACAAAATCCCACAAGGCATAATTCCACGGGACAAAACCCCCATCAGGATAAAATCAACCTCATTGGACAAAATACCACTGGACAAAATACTAAAGGAATAAATAACAGGACAAAATATTAGAGGCCAAAGCACAACTGGGCAAAATAACACAAGACAAAATATTACACACCAGAATGCCATTGGAAAATACATCACAAAATAACACTGGACAATATAGAACTGTTCAAAATACCACTGGATAAAATATACGAAAAACTAATACTGAAAAAAAAACAGCACTGGACAATATAAAACTGGTCAAAATAAGTTAAATAACACTGGACAATATACAACTGGACACAGCATCACTGGACAAAAGAGCACTGGTTAAATTAATTATTAATGCCGGTAAAGAAAAAAAGTTATACGAAACAAATATATATGAGGCAAACATTACACCGCTCATGTGGCCACTTAACAAGTCATAATGGCCCTATAGTAGTGAGGGAGGGGGCGGGTTTTCACAGCTGACTCAGGTGTTTACACGCTGACGTAGTGGCTGGCTGTTCTGTGAATGACTTTCCTGACTGACCAAGGTAATGAGGGATTCGTTCAACCACACCTCCGCTCCGGCCTGCTGACAGGAAAAACGTTTGTGGCCCACAGTTTTTACAATGACTTATGGCTTTAAATAAATAAATAAATAAATAAATAAATATATATATATACATACAAGTGTTCCACACAAACGTAAACAGAGAAGTTTTCCGACATGGTTCCGCGGGCGGGGGTATTCCCCTTAAACATTTTCCCACTACGTTAACTTTTACCCGTCAAGACGCGTGAAAACCAGGCAATTCTTCCCCCTGTAAAGACGAGTTCCTCCAGTATAGGAAGGAGAGATCGACCTTAAGAAGTAAAGCGAAATTATGATGTCAAGTTGCAATAACTGAGTGGTTATGCTTGTCAGTATAAAAGTCGGGGCGCTCCTGCCGTCCTCACAGTTACTCCCTGCTCACCCTGGCGACCTGAAGCCTCCAACAGTCACCCTCAGCTCACTCCTAGCCGCTGCGAAGTAGCGACTCTCTTGCAGCCAACCCCGGACATAACCCCAGCCGCTGTGGAGTGGTGAAGCCTTCCTCTGCCATATTACAGCCACTAAACCATCTCCCACGTATCCAACTCTTCTTCCTTTTGAGTATACAATCTTCACTGAGTGTAGACTCAGCTGGGGTGTACTGTAGGTAAGCTTCCCTCAATACCTCTTGCACACCGCCGTCATGGTCGCCTCTCGGAGGTTCTTCGTCATCGGCAACTGGAAGATGAACGTCGACACGGCCACCATCAACAACATCATCGACACCATGACTGATGCTTCCCTCGACCCTCACACAGGTAAGTCTCCTACACCTGTGACTCTGGCGTATTAACTGCACAGAAAACGTAATTACTTCACTACTCAAGCAGCGGTGTGACCACGTCCCCACCAGTGTGTAAACCCTCGAGTGTTTCGCACGTGACTCAAGGCCACTAGGCTGATCCAGTATAGAGGCAGGACTCAAGAATAATGCTCTCATGCAGCACATTTGTTTACACTCCGAGTCTGTTGTGCTTGTAAAATATTAATAGGAAACCAGCAAAAAAAAATTATGATAATAAGGAACCATATCAATATAAATGCTAAATATTCTCAATGCCTCTCCTATCAGAAAAGATATAGGAAAGTCACAAATATTCACTATCCTGTGCTCTTCGTACTAAAATTAACAAATATATAAATTGTGCTTTGCAGAAGTTGTGGTTGGCTGCCCTTCCTGCTATCTATCGTACGCCCGCCAGCAGCTTCCTTCCAGAATCGGTGTTGCCGCACAGAATTGTTACAAGGTGAGTGTACGACAATAGCTGTGCTCAACGAGTGTTAGGACGTTCTTTAAAATGGCTTACAATATACTTGATCTTAATTACACTATACGGAGTTGTCAATGATTAAGAAATGTAGTTCTAGCAGAGAGGTAATTACAAAAGGTTAAATCAGGGTACATAACACTGAGTTGAGTTCTCATCTCTAATTGTTGATAGACTAGTGTACTTTCTTACGGGCTTAAAGACCTCAGTTGTTGAAGGGCAGTAATAACATCATAAGGTCAACGACACTCAGAGACGAAAGTAGTGATGGTGATGGGGTGGTGTTGCAGGTTGATCGAGGCAACTTTAGTGGAGAAATCTCACCGGCCATGATCAAGGACTGTGGGTGTGAGTGGGTCATTCTGGGCCACCCGGAGCGTCGCACTATCTTCAGTGAGAGTGACGACCTCATCCACCAGAAGGTCACCCACGCGCTGGATGCTGGCATGAAGGTATGTGCCCAGTAAGTGGTTGTGTAGTGAGGCGTACCACAAGGTGCCTCAACCACCACCTGGTGTAGTATACAACTGTACTCTAAATACACGGACCAGAAAATAGCATGACTTTTTTCTATTAGTATACTGTAATTGTTGTACATGTGTTGTGTACATGTGTTGTTCATGCATACTATTATACATGTGTTGTGTACATGTGTTGTTCATGCATACTATTATACATGTGTTGTGTACATGTGTTGTGTACATGTGTTGTTCATGCATACTATTATACATGTGTTGTTCGTGTATAGTGTAATACATGAGTTGTATATGTATATTATCATACAGGTGGTGGCGTGTGTGGTGGAGACACAGAAGGACAAACAAACTGGCTGTACAGAGGAGACGCTCTTCGCCCAGTTGAAGGCTCTGGCCGCCGCCATTACTGACTGGTCCCGCGTTGTTCTGGCATTTGAGGCTCTCTGGGCCAGCGGCACTGGTGTACTGGCCACCCCCGCCGAGGTGCAGGAAGTGTTGGCCAAGCTGCGGCAGTGGCTGCGGCAAAATGTGTCCAATACAGTGGCCAACACGACCCGCATCATCTACGCGGGGTCTGTGTCCTCCACCAACTGTCAGGAGCTGGCCACACTGAAGGACCTGGACGGGTTCTTGGTGGGCAGCGCCGCCCTCAAGCCAGACATCGTCCATATCATCAACGCTCGAACTACTCACGTCTCCAGGCTTGCCAGTTACTTCAACTCTCTTCGCACTGATGACCGCTCGGCCTGAAGATCTTGTTCACAGAGCGACAGTGAACTTGTCTGCCCACGGTGATGACACTGGATCTTCTTCATTACTCTGTTTGGCCCTCTACAACTCTACCTACGTGTAATGGTTATATTATTTGGTGTTGTCTCACGCTACCTAGCTGATAGAACAGGCCAGTACTGTGTGCTGTATCATAGCTTAAGTAAACTTGTACATATTATGTGCTTACCATAGTATTATATAGTTACGTGTAAGAGGTACGGAGCTGTTGCTTATGCAAACATAAGTCAACAACTTGATCTAATTTCCATATTTTTATTTATTTTATTCTTATATTTCAACGGTGATAAATGTATTATATGAAACAGGAGTCCTGTGTCACTGTTTTTGGAATAAGATGTAATAATGATGGAGAAAAAACACGAAAATTAATCTGTTGAGTATTATCCTCTGTAACCACAGTACAGTATTATACACATTACTGATATTAATGTACTAATAATCGACACTAGAACACTTTCACTTAACTTTAGCTAACAGAGCAGGTTGTCCGCTGTCTGCAGATTCAACAAATAAAAAGAAAATGAAGTGGCCAACTATGCACCAAACATCTAGTAGTGCTGTGGTGTCACGGAACACAAGTGACATTTCTTTACAGCTTCATTATGGATGTCTATACTGTTCTCACACTAGTTATTTCTAACACAAACAACTATGTGATTATTATATTAGGCAGTTTGAAGAGAACACACAAGACTGTTAACAAGGAAACAGGAGTCTCTATGGGTACAAATAACCGCTAGGTGCTGCCCCGTCCAGACTACACGACGAATTAAATGGTTTATTAAACAAAAATAGTTATTTTTTTTATCGATGACCCTGTATATCTCTTATTACAACTGGCTAAAATGTTAACCATAGCTAAGTGAATTTTAAGCCACAAGGTTAAAAATTTACGTGTTGGCCAGATAAATTACGTGCAGTTTTACACACCATGTGCTCAAGTATTTTCTGTTCCCATGGTGTATACAATATTCCTACAGGCACCATTCTAGCTGTACTGCTTAACACTGGCTCTACTGATTTTTTGTTGGAGTCGTGTCTTTAACTATAAAAGTGATACGCAATAAACACAGACCTCGAATTTTTACCATCTAATTTACTTATATATTAGGTCACAGAGCTTGGTTTTTTTATAAACACATATTGAAAATAAAGCCTTTTCGTCCATTGGGGTACAATTGGTTTGTAAATACCATATACTGTAAACTGGGTTCAAAGTATGCTCTTTTTGATATTAGCTTCAGTTTATATTGTAGAATTGATGCTGAGTGCAGACTGCAAAGAAAACTGCACTTAACTGTGCAACGTTACACTATATAAATCTATAGGACAAAAAGTGAAATTCTGTCAGCTTTTTACTAGAGTATTTTTTTTTACAGAAAATATTGAGTTCTAATGCTGTACATCTTTTGTCCACAATAGACATTTTCACACAACTCACCTTAAAGCCTTGATCTATACAGTATATGCACCAAGTATAAAAAGAACAAACTTTTTATAAAAACATACAGTATATCCTTACCCCCATTATGCCGATGACCGTAAAAAAACCGTAATGGCACATACTGTACTCCAGTTGGTTCTTCACACTGGTCTTGATAAATCGACCCGTTATCGGGAAGGTTTACCCTGTGCATTTGTACTACATCCTTTAAGATTACAGCACTGAAAAGTGGCTGTCCGTCCTAGTCAGCAGATCTAACTTGTGGATAGGCTGTGAAAATTATGTCACACCATCCTTCGCGCCTTCCCCATCTTTCAAGTATGAGTTAGGAGAAACGGACCACACAGTTCAGCGATTTATTTTTAATCGCCAAAGGTACAGTACAGAGGCAGTGGTGTAGGATGTAACGGTCAATATAAAAATACGGCAATACAGTACTTCACTTCATGGCAGCAGCTGCGAAAAACAGACCATGGACTGCAAATCAGAGTGCACCGGGGTTCCAAGTCCGGTTGTGTAATATGGCTTTTAAGTAGAGGGAAAATGCTAAAAAGAACATCAAACAAACCTTTGAAAACCTGACCTAACCTTTAAAAATAGTTTTGAGCTCATGGATCCCCCCCCCTCATCTGAACACCGAAAACTACACCAAAACATTAAACACCGAAAACAAGAATAAGATAAGTGCTTTACAGTTTTAGGATTTTTATAGGTTAAGTAAAGTTTTTAATGGTTTGTTTGGATTTTTGTTTGTTTGTATTTTCCCTATACTTCAAAGCCCTATATTCAACCAGACTTGAGCCGCTGATGCACTCTTTTCTCAGCTGCAGCCATGAAGTGAAGAATTGGCCAAAATACTTTGATCTTGGTACTGTAATAGTTGGCAATCAATTTCCTACGATTTTGTCGTCACTAATTGAATTCTAAATGAATCCTGACAACTCTAATGGTAGTTTCTTGAAAAATTTAACATTTACTAGTAACCTGGATATTCTCATCTGAGACCTTACCAAATATTCTAAGTGTAAGTTAGGTAAGTTTCCTTGGTTCATATCTCTCGCACATAATGGGTTTCATGCAGTAATCTCAGCCTCTATTTGTAGTCAGAGCTGCTACTCAACTGTAAACCTGCATTGAATTCTTCTAAATAACCATAATATATAACTTATGGAAAATTAGTTATATTAAATAAAACTGGCTTGATCAGTAATGTGAAACTATTTCTACAACAGTACCTTAGCCTCTGCGAATACTCCCATTTAGGATTTATCCTGTAGGTCGAGTGCAGAGCTTCCAAGTCCAAGTACAAACTGATTATAAGCTTCCAATGGTTTCGTCTTCATATCACCGTATGGAAATTTCGGGAATTCTCTAGATAAAAATTCTGCAGCAGGTTGGAAATCTCATAGCTCTAATAACTAATTAGTCTGTGAAATATAACGTTCCTAAATATATCTTCCGGGGCACTAGATCCACTGAGTTGAAATGTTTTATGATTGTTTCTGGGTAAAATGGTTGAAAAACATCCTGCTCACGATTTAAACAGTGCGATACTGTCTGGCTCTATGACAAACATGGCCGCTATTTGGTGACGTCTCAGTAACAGAACACGATTGTCACATACAGACAACAGTATCATTAACAAACTGCTATACAGAAATTGATTTAATAATGGTATTGTGATTTATCAAAGTGAACAGATATTGTTTTTAGTATCAATTTTAGAATAATGCAATTGTCTCCACCATGTTGTCAGCGCTGATGCTCATGTTCGTCAAAATATACGTTAATTTTGCTGAATGCTGCCTTTGAATTGTCAATTTTCTACAAATGAGTTTTTCCTTCCCTTGTTATGTTCTTGGGCTTTTGCTTATCGTGATACAGGTTGATTTTTGTTAGTTTGAAATTCAGTACATTAGTCGTGGCTTATTCCTTAACAATAAACATTCACTGACCCCTCTCCCCAATTAATTTCATATTTAGAAAGTTGCATCATCGGCAAGCAAGGTGTGTAATCTACCGACATTTTTTATATATACTTATCATATCAGGTTGGTCCCATAGAGCTATGATATCCTTTCGCGAGAATTTGGTTTTCTTTTTCCCTCGCTCTTACACGCAATTACTGTTGATTCAGGTGACTCATTTTACATGTCCCTTTTCAAGAAGTTCACTATTCCTTTGACCCTCTTCTCTGGGGGTAAATATAGCTTGTAAACTACGGTGAAACTGATGATTAAGAAGAGCCGCAGGGTTTGCAACTTATCCTCAGTAATATCAGTGGTTTATACTTAACTTGAAATGGAAGTAAAATACTGAATGGTTTATTCATTTTGTAATTGACTTGGTTCATGAGCCAAAAAAATACAGATAGACCTTTTCTTAATACATCTTTGGGCATATTGACAAAGGTACTAAAGACTTCTAGATATGTTTTAAGCATCGCCGACAGGGATAGATAAAAATACATGTACTGTACTGTAGATGGGAAAAGACAGGCATTTCTTCTGTGTAGGTAAAGAGATCAGTATAGACACTCTTTTCATTTATATAGACCTCTTAGGACATCGCCTTAGTGGTAGTGATTTATTTTGAAAGTGTTGCTGTCTGAGGTGTTGTATGCGTCGTGTAGTGGCCATAAGCTGGACTTGAGTCGCCCATAGTGCTCCTGTCATGTTCCTCATCCTTGTAGTCTCTGTCGACTGTGTAGAGCGGCATGTGTTCACGGGATTCAGGGGAACAATTTTAATTAACGGTAACGAGGCGTCTTTATGAGGAGTGAGGTTAAGCCTGGAGACGTGAGTAGTTCGAGCGTTGATGATATGGACGATGTCTGGCTTGAGGGCGGCGCTGCCCACCAAGAACCCGTCCAGGTCCTTCAGTGTGGCCAGCTCCTGACAGTTGGTGGAGGACACAGACCCCGCGTAGATGATGCGGGTCGTGTTGGCCACTGTATTGGACACATTTTGCCGCAGCCACTGCCGCAGCTTGGCCAACACTTCCTGCACCTCGGCGGGGGTGGCCAGTACACCAGTGCCGCTGGCCCAGAGAGCCTCAAATGCCAGAACAACGCGGGACCAGTCAGTAATGGCGGCGGCCAGAGCCTTCAACTGGGCGAAGAGCGTCTCCTCTGTACAGCCAGTTTGTTTGTCCTTCTGTGTCTCCACCACACACGCCACCACCTGTATGATAATATACATATACAACTCATGTATTACAATATACATGAACAACGCCACAAGTATAAATAACACTACATGTACAAAACTCACATCACATATACTCAAGGTTAACCTGGATGACACTTTATCCTCTTCACTATTGATCGGCTCGTTAGCCGCTTGGGCGATCGGTCACGTCTCTGTTACGCACTGTTGGCAAGTACTGGGCATGCACTGGTTCCAGAGTGTACCTGAACCTGCTCCAGTGTTGGTCAAGTCTGTCTCGGTGCCGTCAAGATTCACAATCCTCTCTCTAAAAAATTTTGCCCCAACAATTTTCTGAACTTGTTGCTTATTTAACTTTACAGTAGGTTGTGACCTCTACTGGGGCAGGCATCCACGAGGTCCATGTATGAACATTCAATTGAGTAACGTCCTGAAGTGCTTAAAAACTTTTAATAGATCTCCCCTTGCCGGTCCACAGTACCAGCTCGGTAACTGCAGGTGTTGTAATCTCTCTTGGTACCCATGAAATGCCGTTCGTGCAGGCACCAGTCTGGTGGCCCTCTGGACGCTTATTAATTAAATGACAGTCTCTAGCATATCTCGGGGACCAGACAGGATGACAGTACTCCAAACGGGGAAGCACCTCACTTTGAAGAGCGTTATATGGGACGTTTAGGTATGCGAATGACCTTAGTATAAGCGCATTTGCTTGATTTACCTTCTCCTCACTATGGTCCGAGAACTTCAGCTCGTTGTCAACATGCACTCCCAGGTCCTGTTCATATTTGGTAACAAGGTTAACATAGATGACACAAGGTGACTAAACACCATGAAGAGTTCCCCACAACACCGGGACCGACAAAAAGTACCCAGTTTTAAAAAGGTTTACCCATTAAAGTTTTGCCATTTTTTAGATGACCCTATATTACGAATGACATAATAATGACCCCAAGTATCCTACAGCGGCCCAGTAATGCTACAACACCAGTGACCCATAGGTGTACGTTTTAACTGATGCATGGTGACAAGCGCAGGTACTGACACGGGTAATGGCCATTGTATCATAAGTTACCTGGGAGTAGATGAAAGACAGGTGAGGCAGCAGGTGTTGTGGTGGGCGGATGACCACATCTGTCGAACAGTGGTGAGGGGTAGGGTGGTGGGGTAGGGGTGGTGAGGGGTAGGGTGGTGCGGGGTAGAGTAGGGGTAGGGGTGAGGGGTAGGGTGGTGAGGGGTAGGGAGAGGGTAGGGTGGTGAGGGGTAGGGTGGTGCGGGGTAGGGCCGTGAGGGGGGTAGGGCCGTGAGTGGTAGAGTGGTGAGGGGTAGGGTGGTGAGGGGTAGGGCCGTGAGGGGAAGGGTGGTGAGGGGTAGGGTGGCGAGGGGTAGGGTGGTGCGGGGCTGGTTGGTTGAGGGTGGGGCAGGTAGCGGGCATTACCAAAGACTTCACACAGCCGCACATAGTGTGGGTCACGACTGACGAGGCAGCCAAGACAAGCGTGTGAAGGCTGCGCACAACCACAGAATGAGCGTCCCAGACCCCCCACCATCCCTTATATTTGCTCCAGCCCCCCACTCACCCTCCAGCCCCCGACTCACCCTCCACCCGCTCACTCACCCAATGTACCATTTCTCATTCACGGTCACGAGGCAGCAGGTCATGCTACTTACCTCCGCGGGAATGAGAGTCATATGTGACGTCAACAGGAAAGATTTGACCATCCGGGATCTCAGGGAATACCCGATCACAGTATTCTAGTGCCTCAATAACTTGGAATGTGTTGTGATTTAATTTTAAAGTGAGGACATTGTTTAGTGTAATCATAATCATTTTCCGTATCGAGAATTGCATATTAATCCTTACACAGTGCTGTAACTTTGATGTTCAGTGGAATTAAAATTAAGATAGCGGGTGTTACCGTGGCATCTGCATGGTGAAGATGTTCGCAAACTCTTACGTCGTTCTCTTCGTACAGGCCAATTAATCTCCCAATCACTTTTGGAACATTCTGCCAGAGAGTGTTGTGACGGCACCGAGTGTGAGCTCATTCAAGGCCAGATTTGACAAACACTGGAGCAGGTTCAGATACATTTAGGAGACAGTGCATGCCCAGGACTTGCGTAACAGACGTGACTGATCACCCAAGCGGCTGACACGCTGATTAGTGGTGAAGAGGATATATATATATATATATATATATATATATATATATATATATATATATATATATATATATATATATATATATATATATATATATATATATACAGTACTGTATGTGTGACTTTAAAATACCCTTTAAAAAGTTTAAATCGACGGAATTTCAAAATTTCACAACTCTTTCTACTAACGAAGTTAAAAAATAAATCAGGAAATTAATAACGATCAGTATAGAGTACTTATAACTCATTGTACACTAAATCATAACTTGGTACAATATACTATTTAAGTTTAAACAAAATCAAGTTCCCTTATTTCTGACACTTATATCTGTAACTTTTACAGGCGAAAATAATAAATTTATCTTTACTGAATATTGTCTGGGAGATGAAGATTGGGTGATGTTACTTCACTATCAAATGAAAAGTGCTCTTATCAATATTGACTCTTGAAATTTGAAAAATAAATATATTTAAAAAAATGTGAAATGAGAATATATATTTTATTTACTTTTCATTTAAAACCTTGATGTAGTGAGTAATTTATTCAATTTTAAATTATTTTAAGTTTTGTTCTTGACTCTTAAGGGGTAATTTTTCCCGCCGGCGCCTCGCCTTATAATGCTCACTTCAGGCGAGGCGTTGAGGAGATAAGACGCATCCTAGTTTCCCAAACCTTCATCATATCTACGACCTGTAATCATGAAGTGAGTATTGTATTATTCATGTATGCAATTCAGATAAATAATATAACTTCTTTACTTGCTCATAATTGTGCTAGAGGATCTATACTGAATTGTAAATGGACATCAAAGTGTGATGACCGTTAGACCAGTCAGTCGACCGAGAGAAGAATTTGATATTGATAGCCTGAACAAATTTGCAGCCACTTACGTCCAAAAATTTATTGTAGATGTTAAGTTTAGCTACGGCACAATTTGGTAATATGAAGGTCAGTGTGGCGGTGGTAGCTACGGTATGAACACCACCTACCTGACTAAAATAACTGGTTTTCATGAATGTCTTAAAGGTTTGACTTTTTTAAGCCAAATTTAAATTTGGGTAGTTTAAAATGGTTATTAGGAAGAAGTCAAGGAGTAAAATAATGTTATTTAAAAAAAAAAAAACTACGAACATGAAAGTCGACACCTTTGAGGATCTTTACATTTTTGTTTTAAGAATCACTAATATTTGTTCACAAATACAAATAGGGCTGGGAACATTTAGTAAAGCAGTATCGAGATATATATATATATATACATATATATATATATATATATATATATATATATATATATATATATATATATATATATATATATATATATATATATATAATATGCAGAGAATTTTTGTGATTTAAATTTTTGTTTTGTATTTTCACTTGTTTCCCATTTTTTAGTTGTTTTTTGCAAAGAACTTAATATAGGTATTGTACATGAATTTGTGTAGATTTATGAAGATTAACATAATTTTCTTGGAAATTTTGAACTTAATACAGTATGTTTTACAGGTTGGTCTGCCTTTTGTTCGTTGTCACCCTGTTTGTATGCTACATGCTGTCATCAAGTCAAGATACAACAACACCTGAACAAAACAAAACTGGTTTTCAAAAGAACCTAAAGAATGCTTATGCAAATTTTCAGGCTAAGTTAAAAAAGTTTTTTGCAACGTAAGTTGGTTATAAACTATAGATTTGTTTTTACATCCTTTGTGCATACCTACCAGCCTTTCTGATTTAAGCAGAATCTTAACTAAAGGATGCCCAAACTAAGCTATTTTTTAAATTTGTCAATGGCATATATGGTACAGTACAGTACATGTACATATATACTGTACTGTATTGGGTTTGTCAAAAATCATTATGTACTGTAATTATTTGGAGCTTGACTTGCTAGTTTGGCGGGCAATTTTGGTCTCATTTTGCTCAATATTTGATGCTTAATGCAATGATTCTTCTTATTATTATTATTAGTAGTAGTAGTAGTATTTATGAACAGTGAGCTTTTGCTAAACATCTCATTTTTTTTGGACTTTCTTCCATTCTTTCCTGCACTTCATCCACTTTCTCCAGTGTAACAATACTGTACTTGGGCGTGTTTAACTTTCACGCAGCCTGTTTCTCTAAACTGCTTCATCAGTTTCCATATCACTGATTTTGAAGGTTTAGTATGACCACCAAAGAGACTTTTAAATACAATTTGACATTCCCTAAAGGATGCATTCTTGATGTAATGTTCGACAAGAAACACGTTCCTTCACAGTGAGCGCCATGGCATGACCAAGTGAAGACCACTGATGGGTCACATGATAATTGATAACTTTCAGGATCATGTTTCCTCTTTCTGTAACAATAGGCTACATTTACACAAAGCATCAGGCTACCATTAGATATAGTTTTTAATGTATGGGAATTATTTAGGGTTCGCGAATAAAAAATCTGGGAAACACTGGAGCACCTCTGAAGATGTCTTGAATAAAGATGAAAGCTAAGGTGCTCCAGTGAAAGAATTTAAAAAAGAAAAAATAGAGATCACATAAAGTGAAATTGACTTGTGTCATTTGAATACAGTACTGTACTGTATATCCCTAAGTTGTAACACTTCCTAAACTGTATAATTTTCTATCACCAGACCCCCTTCATGGTCTTTAACTTAAAAAGAAAGGGGGGGGGGGGTTAAGTTGTTTCTTAAAGGCCTCCACAGGAGTACTGCTTTAGGCTCGTCAAGGTGTGAGGGATCATCACCAATACTTAAAATCATTTTGGAATGTATTTTCAGAGGATTTTGTAGGTTGGCCAAATACCTCATAAGTGTCTTAAAAGTCATTATGCAGAGTTTGAACTATATCCTCGCTTTTATTGGAAGCCAATGCAATTTGATCAAGACTGGGGTAGTGAGAGAGCAAAAATAAGCCTGACAACCCTGTTCAATGCTGAACTTTCTTCAGTAAATAATTAAGTAGGCAGACCAATAAAGTTACATTAGTCAACCAGAGACAAAATAAGTGAATTAGTGTCCACAAGACAGGTATCCAAAAACTTTTTCACAACATAGAGATTTTGAAAATGAGTTACATCTCTTTACCACTGAATCTACAAGCTCTTTAAAATTCTGAGCAGTACTTTCCTATTTTGTTGATTCAAATCCAATTTAACAATTCCAATTCAGTTAAAATCATTTTTGAAAAAAAAAATCCTGTTCAATTCAATTCATATGCTTCTCAATTCCAATTCATTTCAATTACACTATTTAATTTTCATATTAAAAAAAAAAGTTTCATACCACTGGACTTGGGAGTCATAAATCAACTCGTCAAAAGAATTTGAAATGTGTGGGAAATAGTCTCTCAGTTAAATCTCAGACATTTTAAGCATAACAATACTGGGTAGTCTTGAGTACGTTTTGGTACCTACATTGTACACAAAGCTCAATTATCGTACAATGCCTTGTTACTTCAAATTATTCAAGTATGAAACTGGTTTTATACTTTTAGACATGTTGAACAAACAATATATATATATACCCCTGTATATATATATACGTACTGTATATACACACACACACAATAACATCTCCGTTAGCCGGAATCCCTCAAACCCGAAACTCTCCGATAGCTGGAATTTAAATTTTCACAAAATTCGGGGAATGGGGTTTTTTTTTTTTCCGGATTTCAGAGATGAAAATTGTGAGGAAAAAAAAAAGTTCCAGGGATGAGGGATATTTTTCCAGGTTCGAGAGATGGTATAATGGGCAAGTTCTGGAACTTCCGAGAAAATTTTTTCGTTACCTGGAAAATTCCGGGGATAAGAGATAGTTTTCCGGGTTCAAGAGAGTCGTCTTGTTACCCGGAAATCTCTCATTCCTGGAAGTGCTCTACGCCAATTGTTCCAGCTAACGGGGATATTACTGGACGTATATAATACATTGGCCACATCAAAAAATTCAATTCTATTCTTTTTTTTTTAAATTTCCTTCAGTTCCAGGGTTCATGCATTTTCCAATCAATTCCAGTTCAATTCATAATTGACCCCATCCCTAGCGAGACATTTAAATCTTAAAATCAGACATCAAGGATTTCATCTCAATACGTACTGTGTTCTTGACATTAATTTCACATAAAGCTGTGTACCCTATCATCGGCATAGAGATGGTAGGCAACACCATGAGCATCCAGCAGAGATGGAAGACTGCTGGTATTGACTGAAAACAGAATTGGTCTTGCCTTTCTAGGCCAAACTTTCTAAAATTAAACCGGGATTCATACTGTATGAAAGAAAAATGGCTGACTAGAAATAAAAAAAAAAAGAAGTTAAATGAAGGATATCGCCTTTATTCTTTGTTAAATACTTTACATAAGAAAGTTCATATGACACTAGTGGCTTAAGTAAACAGGAACAGACAGGGTTATTTTCTGTTTTATTATTATTATTATTTCAGTTGAATGTTTAGAATATGGCTTAAAAGTTGTAATATATTAAAATAAGGCTCAAAACTAACACCAAACAGTATTCAGGCATATTTGAGGTTGACAGCTAAGAAAACAGTTAAAGTCCATGGTCTCATCCATTTATCTCCACCTGCCCAAACCATCTCTCCCAACCTTTATGCAGAACATTGACAGCTCTCTCAATACCCAGCCATCCTCTTAGCCATGAACAGGGGCCTCATGTCTTTCAGTCACATTGCACATCCACTTCACCATTCTCATTTCAGCTCGCTCAAGCCTACATACATCATCCTCTTTAACTGCCCAAGTTTCTCTACCATGCAGTATCACTCCTTGTGCAAGCTGCATAAATTTTTCCTTTCATGTGGAGTGAAGGTCCTTTTGCTGTCAATAAAATAAAGGCAGTAACTCCTTAGGTTTATATTTGTAATTACAGCATTCATGTACACTTAATGTTTATTAGGTTTCTCTAACTTGCAGGAAACCAAAAGAGGCTACACCTCAACAAGATGCCCATAATTATGAGAAAGGTAGAAGAGATTCATACTCTAAGAACAAGATACAAAGAGAGGATGACCCTGAAAATGATTATTATTCAAACTATCCCTCAGATAATGAGAATGATGACACTCGCACCATAACTAAGTCAGAAAATGCCTTGGACGATGATGAATCTTTTAATGGCACTGTGGATAACTTTGACAGTGATGAATCTTCCACAAGTGCTATGGATGACTTTGACAGTGATGAATCTTCCACTGAAGATGACCTTGACAGTGATGAATATTTCACTAGCACTTCACATGGCTTGGATGATGATAAATCTTTCACTCGCACTTTACATGCCTTTGATGGTGATGACTTGTCCACTAGCACCAAGGATAAACTTGACAGTGGTGAATCTTCTGTTAGCTCTGAGGATGAATATGACAGTGATGAATCTTTCACTGAGGATGACTTTGGTAGTGATGAATCTTCTTCCACTGAAGATGACCTTGACAGTGATGAATCTTCCTCTGAGGATGACTTGGACAGTGATGAATATTTCACTAGCACTTCACATGGCTTGGATGATGATGAATCTTTCACTAGCACTTTACATGCCTTTGATGGGGATGACTTGTCCACTAGCACCAAGGATAAACTTGACAGTGGTGAATCTTCTGTTAGCACTGAGAATGAATATGACAGTGATGAATCTTCCACTGACACTGTGAATGACTTTGACAGTGATGAATCTTCCACTGAGGAAGACTATGACAGTGATGAATCTTCCACTGACACTGTGAATGACTTTGACAGTGATGAATCTTCCACTGAGGAAGACTATGACAGTGATGAATCTTCCACTGACACTGTGAATGACTTTGACAGTGATGAATCTTCCACTGAGGAAGACTATGACAGTGATGAATCTTCCACTGACACTGTGAATGACTTTGACAGTGATGAATCTTCCACTGAGGAAGACTATGACAGTGATGAATCTTCCACTGACACTGTGAATGACTTTGATAGTGATGAATCTTCCTCTGAAGAATCTGATATTGAAATTGATAACCCTACATCGAGTGGTGGAGAGATAGTCAGTGGCAAGGATAGTGAAGCTGACTCTGCTAATGAGAATGATGAGGGTTATGGGTCTACATCTGAGACTCAAGACAACCTAATTAATAGAGAGACTTGGGAATCAGATGCAGTAAGAGGAATTGAAGAGGATAGTACCCATCCCTTTTCTGAGAGTGTGAATGATGTTAACTCTGACCCTTTACCCTCAGTAAACAGTGATAGTGATGACAAGGGGAAGTCTGACACAGACTCAGAGGATGATAGTCCTGATGAGAGTTGTGAAGCTGGTTTCCATAGTGATGATAGTGATGATATGTACTATGATGATAGTTATGATGACTATTTTAGCTTTCTGTATTAAGTGATGATGATGAGGGACTGCTTGATGTCGCAATGTATCAACTTTTAGTAATGTAGTTAATAAGGCAGTTGGAATTGAGACAAACTATATCTGAAAATTACTACCATTAGTCTTTCACTATGGACACACAAAAGTTGATTTTATTGTACTTCACATACTCATGATTTAGTTTTAAAGGGTAAAATGTCAACATGGAACTGTCAAAATAGTAACTTATTAATTTACATCTGGAGGATCTTATGTTTTTGAAGATAAGACTAGTTAAGGATACAGTATTTTTATATTAAGGTGGATGTTGTAAGAAACTATACTCTGTTCATCCTAACCTTACAACTGGGCCAAATCAAAGGAACTTGTGATTGGGTGAATATACACGGGTGGTGAAATAGTTGGGCATTGCTTTTTTTTAAGCAAATTTTTATTTCCATGGCTTTGGATTCTACAGAATATTAAGAAAAGAATTTGAATAATGAAGATCTGTAGTTAATCCAATGCACCTCATTCCACCAGACAATCAGCTTCACTGATGAAATCTATTTTATGCCTTGGTTGCAAAGTTCATGTGAACAGTATACAGTAGTTGATGTGATATTTCTTCAACGAGGAATATAAATTGTACGAGGAATATGTGAAAAGTAATTTTGCATAAGTTAAGTGTTACTGTTAATGCCTCTATTTTATATTTATTTATTTTATAATTATTATTTTTTTGGCATCAGCCCCCAAAGAGGATATTTTGTTAAAATAATTTACTTTAGTAAAGCTATGTGCACCAGTAAGTGTTTTTCATAACCTTTTATGTTTGCTTTGATGTATTACCATTTTGGTGGAGAAATCAAAGAACTGGAGAATAGTTAAGAAAATAATTAGTAACTGAGAGGCAGTTCAAATCAGAAGTTACTTGGCTTTTTTTTAATGAAAATTCATTGATGGCTAAGGGGATGAATGACATGGTTTTATCACTCTAATACAGTGTGGCCAGAATCTACAGCCAGTACAAACAGATTTGTTATCATTCAATCAATCTTACTGCAGTAGATGTGTTGTCACAGTACAGTTGGTTCCCATTACTCATCAGGATTATGGTATGTCCGAAGAAATAAGGAGCAAAACTAGTAAGTCTTATAAGAAGGTCGTTTAAATATCCGGATGGATCTTCAAGAGTAAGGTGCTTCCCTGTCTGGTCCCCGAGGTATGCTAGAGACTGTCAATTGATTGAAAATGTTCAAAGGAGGGCCACCTGACTGGTGCCTGCTCTACAGAACCCCAGTTACCCTTAGACTGGAGCGCCTGCAACTACCTAGCTTATACTACAGACAGGCGAGGGGCAACCTAATTGAAGTATATAAACATCTCAGGGGGCACTACTCGGTTGACTGTACATACCTGGAGCTGGCGGACGTCTGCCCCACAAGGGATCACAGCTCAAGGTTGAAGAGGCCACGAGTCCAGAAAACTGTGAGGGCAAACTTTTTTGGAGTGAGAATTGTAAACTCTTGGAACAATCTGCCAGAGAGCGTTATGTCGGCACCGAGTGTGAGCTCGTTCAAGGCCAGACTTGACCAACACTAGAGCAGGTTCCGATATATTCAGGAGCCAGTGCTTGCCCAGTATCTGCCAACAGTGCGTATCAGAAATGTAACTGACCGGCCGACGAGCCAATCAGTGGCAAAGAGTATATAAAGTAAACAATAGTGGAGGGTCCTATCCCCATAGAAATCAATGGAATGAGGTGTTATAATCCTTTAGTATAAATACAAAGACTATTAGTGTGTTACCTTATTTAAGCCCAGTGCAGCTGTACTATACACTTCATCTAAAACAGATCAATAACTCCAATTACATTTTTAGATTATACAAGAAACATTACCAAATGTAATAATACTATGAGCAGAGCTTAAGATACAATTATAGATTAAGTTCTTGGTCACACAGTCGATGTCTTTCAAATGACCTCCATGCACTAGTGGATACTTGGCTCATCCTAAATGACTGGCTGGAGGCTCAATTCATACAGGTACAGCCTCTTTCCACTTCCAACTGGTCATAAGCATTGTCAATGCACCCTCTGTGGTGTGAACCCCAGGAGTCTCGACTCTTGAATATGAAGCATTTCATGAGCGAGGAAGAGAGGGAGGTCTGGAGCCGGTGTGTAAGTGGGCGGTGGTTGAGGAGGGTCAGAGTGTAGTGGGGTTAAGCAGTTACCTGTGCAGTTATAATGCAGGATATATTAAGCAATGATATAAGTTCGTACGATAAAACACAAAGTATGAGTAGAATGTGTTAGCTCACCTGAGGGTGATATTCCCAGCTTGTGCAACAGGTCTGAATGAATTGTGCATACTGTAATGTATTTACTGTCCAAAATTTACTAGTTCATTAGCCACTGATAACACAACCCCCCCAAAAAGTTGCACACATGCATCAGTTATGCATTATTCCTCCATGTCTCCCTCCTGTTGAAACCTAAGCAACTGTCATTTACTCCAGGGGTAATAGGGGGATGGGCTGGGGGCCTCTACTATTGGTGTCCATTTACAACAGGGTTGCATTTATTTCCCAATGAATAATGGATGCATTGTAATTTAATTACATAAGCATTGCCATAGTAATAGTGTAATGAACAATAAAACACCCAGGAAGTTGTCAAACAATTATTTTAAATAACAATAATCCAATTGATACATTGTAGTGGATACTCTCTAACTGCTGGTTGATCACTTGCCGTCCGCTTACACCAGCCAATCAGCAGCGGGTTTTTTCACAGACCGGCTCACTCTCAGACTCTTGTGATGATTGGCCGTTACCCTTCAACTTCATTAATCAGCATGTATATATAAATATATATATACTATATATATATAATATATATATATATATATATATATATATATATATATTCCGTTAACGAAAAAATTCGATTAACGAAGTTCTTACGTAACCGACCTCAACATGTTTTTCGCACTGACCAGGCAACCAGCTTTAGTATCAGTCCGCCAATACATTAATGGGATCTAGGGCTTAAATTCCCTATTTTTAGTAAATATCAAGAAGTTTATACTATTTCAATAATTTTAAAGTTTAATATTCAATTTTAGTCATTTTAACAATTATTGAACATAATTGAAGGTAAAGTGACTAGTTTAATCGCGGCATCCAGCCTCTTAACACAACAAACAGGAGTTACTGTCTCTCTCAGTTTCACTGGGTAACATCTTGCTTGAGACTCTCTTCAACTAAGCTTTTTATGTGTTTCCAAGCAAATTATTGGTCATTTTGAAATATATTTTACATATTGACAATATATAATGCAGTGCAGTGTTGATTTAAAGAAAATAATCTTGAATTACACCAAGAGAGCTAAAATTTTATGGGTGAAATGGCGCCATGGGGTGACTTCTCTTCCACCCAATGCCTTCTCTTCCCTTCTCCTCCACCCCCATTCTAAATCCCATCATCATCATCCGAGCCTTCCTTTACACACCTCAAAGTAAGTGAACTTTTCTACCATTTTTGTTGAATTTAGGAAATTTTCGGTGAGCTGGAACCAATTCCCAACAACCCATTGAAACAATGGTTTCACTTAATGAACTTTTCGGTTAAGCGACCTTCTGGAACCAGTTGAGTTAGATTGCGGAGGTCATAATATATATATATATATATATACTGTATATATATATATATATATATATATATATATATATATATATATATATATATATATAATATATATATATATATATATATATATATATATATATATATATACTGTTATATATATATATATATATATATATATATATATATATATATATATATATATATATATATATATATATATATATATATATATATATATATATATACAGGTTAGTTCTCTAGTCCGCATTCTGTGGTCCGAAACTCCTGTGGTCCGAACGATTTTAGTTTGCCCAATAGCCAACATCCTGATGTAACTCAATGTAATTTTAGTTACGAATCATCACTACATTGGAAGCAGAATTATGGTAGCATTAAAGGTAAATTAAATAGTATTTAACTGTATTACTTTTTCTAATTTATTTATTTCTATCTTATGTTTTTATGCTTTATGTAGGGTGTTTCGGGGTGAATTTCATGGTCGTAATGTCCATGGTCCGCACCGTCAGATCGGAGGTTGCCAGACTATATATATATATATATATATATATATATATATATATATATATATATATATATATATATATATATATATATATATATATATATATATATATATATATATATATACTGTATATACCAGGTATAGCATTTAGTTTTAAGACCAAATT